TGTTAAACATCAACAAATTAAAAAGAAATTTAGAATACAAGAAGTACTTTAACACGTTACAACTCTAAAAGAAATTAATAATTAGATCATTAATCCAATTCATATATACAATCAATTTTCTGAAATATCTTGCTGGAAGCCACTTTCAAGAATGATAATTAATAGAATCAAATATTTCACAAGCATTTAACATATTATTATTAAAGAGAAATATTATTCCGCTGAAGTCAAATAGTTCATACTATCGCAAACCATACAATGACAACTCCCATCTATTTTTTTTTTCTACATTGAATTCCACACATGCTTAATAACATATCATGCAAATTTTTAGGTAAACATAAACTGACATCAAACTATTCAAACTCTGTATCACATTTTTATGGAGACATTACAATGGAAAAAAAGATGCAATATGTCCTTATCTTTAATTCACATTTAGTCAAGTTTTTTCATTGCATTAAACAATAGACGCCAAACGAATACCACTATCTTTGTTAGCGCACTGACTTTCCAAATCTTATTAATCGTTGTTGAAAATAGCTTTAGGTATAAATTTGTCAATGCAATATTTCTTACCCATTTATCTTTCCAAAAACTAAAAGAATGACTATCACCAAGTATTTGTGTGACATTAGAATTTATCCATCCATTAGTTTGCTTACATATACACACCACGTCCCTCCACCAATCTTAAGCATTATGAGCTACCTCCAAAGAAATTAAAATATTAGCACATGATCCATAACGCGCCCATAACACATCTAAGTACAACAAGTTTGAAGATTTTAATCCTCTCCAAACCCATTTATCCAACAAGCTCCAATTGAACCATTTCACATTTCTCACCCTTAGACTACCCTCATTTTTTAGTATGTATATTCTTTCCCATTTAATCCAAGCTATTTTTAATGATTTCTACACCAAATAGCATTTTCCAAAAAGATAAATTATGTAATCTAGTCTTTGTAGATAAAAAATTTGTATATCAATCCTACATGAAAATTTATTTTTAATTTTGTTCATGTTGTTATAGTATATTATAATGACATTAGCTTTAAAATGATTATCTAACATGACAAATTTAAATTGTCTTATACAATATCCTTTTTTGTAATTTAGTTCATATAGGTAAAAAAAAAAAAGGTAAAATCTACTATACCCTCCATAATTGAGAGGGTTTAGTAACCTCTCTAACACGTGGTTCAATCGTCATTGTTGATTTTATACTAATAGATAGTAGAATCAGTAGTTTAATTGAAAAAGACTTTAATATCATATAATCTTTAAGATATAAGATAAATCATGATTGTTGATCTAGAAAAGGTATACCCTTCCAAGTTTTCAGGTATCATATCAAGCACAAAAAAAATTGTATATTAGTTTTTATACAAAAAATTATTTTCAATTTTGTCCCGATCATTATGGTGACAATTTCATATTAATATCAAGTGACATTTTTTCATCATATTTAAAAAAGTATTATAGATTCTTCAAATAAACTTTATACTTTATTTCATACTTTTTCACATTAAATTTTTATGTCTTGATTTGTCTTTACATGAATATCACCTACATCATATTCATATCCAGTATCACTACTTATATGTTCCATTATATCTCATCATAATTTTTTTATCACTTTTTCTATTATCTTTATTTCAATATCTTGAATCTCGATCATGTCCCCTTAAGTCATACCTAAAGTTAAGAACCTTCTTTCTCTATATTCTTGGTACATTTGTAAAAAAATTAGAATCATTCTTTAAATTATTACTATCATCATTATTTTTATTTATTTATGCAATCACATATTGACTATCTTAAAAAAGCAGCATTGAAAAAAGGATGATAATAACGTGATATGAATTATTATGAGAATATAATAAAACAGACAAGTAATGGTGATTTTTAAGATAAATATTGAAAATGATGCTTACATAAAGATGAAGTATTTTTGAAATGATTCTTATATGATTTTAAAACAAAGAGACCTTAGTTTGTATAATAAAACTCGACATCATAAATTGAAAATGTATGAAGCAAAATGTGAAGCTTCTTTAAAGAATTCAGAATACTTCTAAAGATGATAGAAAAATATCACATAACATTTATATGAACCATAATGATAGAAACAAAATTAAAAATAATTTTTTGTATAAATTTTTATACATTTTATTTTTATTTACGGGGACTAAATTACAAAAAAAAAAATATTGTACAAAGATTAAAAGATAATTTAAATTTATCATGTTAGATAGTTGTTTGCCATGTAAAAAAGAGAGTTAACATCGTTATAATGTACTATATCGATAAAGATGAAATTAAAAATAAATTTTCATATAAAAATTGATTTACAATTTTTTATCTATAAAAATTAAATTAAAGAAAGAGATATTTTATTAAACTAAAAGATCATCTATCCTATCTAAAACTAATCATACAATATATTTATAATCTTATATTTAAAAATTATTTAAATTTAATAATACTTATACAGTAAAAAAGGAACTCACTAGTTTATATTTGTTATATTTTAATTTAAAGAATTTATTAAATCTAAAATAGTCCTACAATATTTAAAAATTTATTTAAATATATTATTTTAATTTAATAATAAAATACAGTACAAAAAGACTTGGAACCATAAATTTTCCACAACTCGAGTCGAGTGTCTTAATAACAAGACGTCTTGCCTAAATTAACCATTTAATATAAAATAAATTTTTTAAAAATAATTTAAAATAAATTTGGTATTATTAATTATCAATTAAAATTTATAATTAATAAGGCACATTGGCCAAATTAACTCCCTTAACGTAAAATAATAATAATAAAAAAAGAAGCATTTAATTTTAGAAGAATATAGGATCACTAAGTTGTTACAAAGTGTTTACAATTAAAATATATTATTAAAAATATATTTTTGCCTAAATTAACTATTTTAGCATAAACAAATATTTTAAAAAAACAATAACTAAATTCAAAATTTGATGAATAGTCTTATTACATTTTATATTATTTAAAAAGTGAGAACTAAGAGGAATAAACACAAAATCTAAATGATGTTTACAAGGCACATATGACAATAAAATAAAAATGCTATTTTTTTTTCCTACATTTTTATTTGCAAATCATTTAAGAGGTCATTAGATTTATGAATTCACTTTACACCGTTTCCCCATCTTCTAATTAAACCCTTTTTAATAAATTACTTTTTTGTCAAATTTTTAATTAATTTATTTTTCTCAAACTTTTTAATTAATGCTAGAAGGATGCACAAGAATAAAATATTGTCAACAAAAAGAAGAAATAAAAATGTAGGCCCAAGATTTTTAATTAATGCATACTTTACTAATGAGCTCGTTCCAAAAGCTAACCCACACACTTGACACATTAGTCCATCTTATATACTCAACCCTCTTTTCTTTTATTTCCTTTTCATTACCACCAATCCCAATTAATACAAACCCATCATCATCAGAACCTATTCGCTTTTTGAGGAAGAAAAAGGCAGTATTTGGAACGATCGATTTTTCCATCTCAACAAGCAGTATCATCCCTATTAAGAATAATATTTATTTTTCTTAAGAAAATTAATTTTACTTGTTGTAGGGGTGATACACTTTAATTTATTCAGCAGTTATTTTATTTTTTTTTGCATTTTTTTTTAAAGTTTGTAATATTTTAATTATAAATTTCTTATAAACTTAATTCACGTGTACACTTTAATTTTATCATTGTTTATTATATATATGATTATTGTGTAATAAATTAATTATTTTTATATTTTATATTGATTAATATATATTTCATAAATAATTTACATGTTTTTAATTCATAAAAAATTATGTAATGCAACTATTTTTTTCTATTTTTGAAAATTAATATTTTAATTTTAAGTTTCTTATAAATATAAGCTATAACTTTTTAAGTAGCTTATCAATTATAAATTACAAACTTTAAGTTACTACTACCAAACATAAGTTATTTAAGAGCTTATAACCTTATTTTAATTTTTTTTTATCATTAAGCTTGTAAAATTGTTTAATAACCAAAGTAAATAAATAAAAATAAAAATAATAATTTATGAAAAGTTATCTCAAGTAACATTTCACAAAGTAGAATTTAGATTTCGATATTTATAATTTGATCTTTAACCCTTTAAACAATTTACATTCGTAAATTAACATTAACACTTTATTTTTGATCATTTAATATATCTATTAGTTGTATAACTAATTACCAAGCAACTCTAATTCAATTAGCTAGTTATATACTATAAATTTTTAGTTAATTTACCAATCAAAGCCTTAGTAACACATTTATAACTTGTTTAAGAGTTTATACTTAATTTCTTTTGTCAATAAACTAGTAGAGCAATTTAATAAATAATAAATAAAAAAAGACTTGTAGATTTTGAAAGGTAACCTGTTAAACAATTTATACTCACATAAAATAACCTTAACACTTCATTTTGTCACTCATTTAACAATTAATTGTATAACTAATTTTTATCAAACAACTCTAATTAAATCAGCTAATTATAAAATATAAATTTTCAACTAACTTATCAATTACAAGGTACAAGGTACAAGTTTTCAGCTAATTTCGTCAAACAAAATCTAAAATAATAGCTAAACAAAGGCCACCCGATCCCTTCAAAATCTACAAGATCAATTTTCAAAAGCAATCATAGGATATGAAGTATCATTTGATCCCCAAGACTCAAAGAAGCATAGTCTAGAAAACTACGATGAAAAAATGTTAGACCAAACGTGCCCAGTTTCTGCAGTGCGGCAGTGTTTGTTTGTGATGATCTTTCGTGGGTGTAGTAGTATATATTTATCTTTGCTTTTCATTGCATGATTTATTGGCAAAAATGGCAATATTTGTTTCTTCTCCTTCACTTATTTCCATGCTTTTCTTTCTTAAGAGAGCAAGTCCTACTTTTTTCTTTGCAAAAGCAGGGAATCGCACATAAACTAAAAACCGTTTAGAAGGGGAACCAGAAATAATCACAAAATTAATTGTTCAATACCTGAAAGTGTACAAGTGCCCACAAAGGGAGGGGGAAGCGATATGGAGGAGGAATTTTGTATTGTCTATACAAATATATCCTAATTAAATTGAAAAATAATGAATAGTATGTGTGCATGCATAATACAAGGAATAACAGAATTCATGAGAGATGGAATTTCAAAGCAAACAAATAAAGCAGGGGGGGTGTCACGTGAGTCCCTAAACACACAAATGCAATTTTGTTTTATGAACGATAAATTGCAAATTAAGTTCACAAAGATGTGACCTCAGAAGAATTCCCTATCTATGTATAGTGTGTTTGGGTAATGCGTGTGATCTAGTCTTGTTTGTTATCACTACCTCCCACCTGTCCCCTATTCTTGGACTGCGAAGGGGCAATCTTGGAAGGGGTTGAACGCTCAGATTGTGAGAACTTAATCATGATGTGCATGAGGAGAGTTACGACTACCAAACCAAATGCTGAAAATGCAACACCCTTCCAGGAGGATAGTAGTGAAGACCATAGAAGGAACTTTACAGCCCCCGTAACAACCACACAAGCCCAAGATATGACAACCTGTTTACAATGAAATTGATTGTTGACTAGGCAAAAGAACTACACAACTTACACAAAAGAGAATATTATAAATAAGGATGATGCAAGATTATAGACATATTGAGAGAAAGTATCTCACCACAAGAGACTTTATTGGTCGACCAGTGTCCTGCAGTTCTTGATCACCGAATTTGTCCTCAGCTATATGTTTGTCTAACAATGCGTCCTGGAATCCCAGAGGTTTAGGGAGAGAAAAGAGAAAAATTGTAAACTATCAAACACTAAGAACTACTGCAAAATCTACCTAAGCATTCTTGAAAATACACACAGAGCACAAAATTTTGCAAACTTGATCAAATAATCCAGAGTCACCTACATGGGGACTTGTTTTTTTTTTTTTGGGGGGGGGGGGGGGGTTCAGTTAATAAACCTTAGCGACAAATATATCTCGACACCATTGAGCAACAGCTTCATCTGCTTCTGGCAAATCCTTCATCAAATGCCGCTTAATATGCACATGCACCTAAGGTGGTAAAAAGAAGTAAATTTTTAATTAACCAAGACATTTTATAAAGATAAGGAATCCTCTTGATGAAGAAAACCAAACTAATGCAACAAGTAGACATAAAAGAGCCACCCAAACCTTCAAAATCTACAAGATAATAGACATTAAAATTTCAATGCAAAGAAACATAATGAAGCCATGAAAACAACATTTGGTTCCCAGGTATATAGAAAACTATGAATCCTTAAAAGCTTCGCAACTTTCCAAAGTAAAAACCAAAAACATGCAGCAAATTGCTCAGGTAGCCACATAGAAAACTAAGGATCCTTAAAAGCTCAGCTATTCTTCAAAGTTAAAACATATGTACCAAATTGCTAAGTCACGTCTCTCTTTCTTTTTCCTCAACCAATAACAGTACCAACAAATTCCTCAGCAACACTGTGGCTTTCCATAAAAATAAAGAAGCCTATTACAACTCTCCAGGATAACAAAGCTAAGTTAAAACAGATGATCATGTATCCCACAATGGTGGCAAAATAACAACCAAAATTTGTCAAACTAAGTGAGGTTGGCTACATGGATTTGGTAAACACCATTGGGCTCTATCAAAAAGATATTTTTTAATAGTTACTTTTTAAATTCTTTCATCTTCTTGAACTCCTTTTTTATCAGACAATGTTCTATATGATTCACTTTTCTTACTATAGTCTCCATTGGCCTTCTCACATGGACAAACTAAAAGCCTAATGCAAAAAGAAAATAAAGTTTTATATTCCATACATGCTTAGAATAATATGTTTTGGAAAAAGAAGACAATTTGGAAACAAAAAAGAAAAAGAAAAAGAAAATCAATTCCATCCACTTGCAATAGAACCCTAATCTTAATGTGATTTTTTCATGGCTTCCATTTTCCCAAAGCATACAGAAAGAGCAGTAGAGTATTAAAAAATAAGACATGCATTGAGCAGGGAATGCATTTCTTTTCTATCTCCTAATTCCTATTGTAGTTACATCAAAGTTAATTTCTGCATTTAAATTCTCTCGATTGGAATTACTAGTAGGAGAACAGAGGAAACAATGAAATAAAAAAAAAAAAAAACTTAATGAAAGTCAAAGTGATGATCAATTAACAGCTTCAGTGAGGGATACTCAATAGAATCACAAACTTGTAGTTGGTTGGTTGGCTAAGAGAAAGAGTAAAATTCCATTCTGTACATAATGTAGTGAGAGAAAGAATGGAGACTATAGATGCAGTTTTTTTGTTCTTTCTAAATCTCAATTTTGATTGGCTCACCACTGAAGGTTGCCCCCTGAAGAGTCTTAGCATTGTAGGAGCAGGTGAACTCTTGGGAATTGCCACTGTTACATCATAAATGGCGGGAACAAATGAGCGCATATGGCTTACTGCTGAAACAAATCCCTGAAAGAAACAAAATTGAGTAAATATTTCAGAGCAAACAATGGAGAAGAACAATAAAACCTAAAATAATGGCTAGTGCTGCCTCTCAGGTCATATTTGTAAGATTGAATGCGATACTTGTAAATTTAGAAAAACAAAGAAACCAAAGAAAGGATGTAAAAATGTAGATCAAGTCAATATCTATTTTTGAAATTTAAAGGATAAAATAAAACTCGGGAAATTAAAATCATGAGAACTTAAAAATTCATACGATATTGCATTAAGTCATTTCAACTTATTTTACAAGAAGTAATTTTATATATAAAAGAGTGAAAGTACAGCTATGAGGAGGATGCAATATCTTCCGAAAAAGAAAAAACCAAATAAATCAGAGAACACAAAAAAATCAGGGACTGGGCAAAACACTCTGATAAACACAATCATACCCATTACAAGTATAAGGCAGAGACACCAGCTAAATTGCATGCTTTTCCAACAAAATACACCAAAGGGAAGCATAATCAAGATCACAAGTTCAGTTGTCTCTTAAGATACCTACTTTGTCTCTTTCATAGACAATTTTTCAAGATATAATTGAGTACAAGACAATTGTTCATTATGTTTGAAATCAAAATCAATTTGGACAAAATATTAGCGTTCCAAGTAATGATAATACAAAAGAATCTGCACCTTCCAAGAGTTAAATATTGTTCAAACATAATGACATAGCCAGCTACTTGATAAGTTGATTTCCACCCTTCTATTTAAAGAATAAAATATTGTATTCCATTCTTTTTCTTCCAGCACCCTTTACACTGTTTCCCCTCATGCTTTTGGTTCTACCTTTGTTTTGCATGATCTTTCTCCAGGTCTTGATAAAGTATCTTGCTGTGCTATTAAGTACATTTTCCTTGTTTATTCTCAGGGTCAACAAGGATATCAGTGTTGTTCCCTTTCCATACTTCACATCAACAGTAACCAAACTCTATCACTTAGCTTTTACCAATTCCCTACATTGATTCATCTGTCTGTACTCCCCTTTCATACTGATTTGAACCTCCATGGACCAATGTGCATAAATGTTAAACTTATAATTGATAAGTAGTTGCATTATTGCATTCAGACACAAGTAGATATGAAGACTGGTGGGAAAAATTATCTCACCATGACTAGACCAAACATATCCTTTGTTAGTCTTGTGAGTTAGTTTCTTAATTTCCCACTGACAGTCACAGTCATTGGGATCAACTTGTTCATATCATTAGATATAAAGGTTTTGTAGGAAAGGGCCATGTACAGAAATATAGGCCACACAGATGTGTTGCATACATGGTAGTTAAAATCCTGATTTGAAACATAAAATGGATTTTATGATTTATGAAGCCTTACCAATTTAAATCATGTGTAAAATAGTGGCCAAGTAAAATCATTGTCAAATCAGGATTTAAATCGTTAAATCGTTAAATCCCTTAAATCGTGGGATTTTATGATATCACTTTGATTCTGGAAATTCCTCAAAAGGCCTCTTTTGTTGAACCCTAATGAAGTTGACGCCTCTTTCATATCTCTTTTTTATCAAACCCAATTTGCTTCTAGCAGCTTTCAACCCTAATGTTGTCAACATTCAACAGTTCTCATGGATATATAGATGAATTTTGTAAAATCTTATGATATGATTTACGATTTTACAATTTAATATTTTCACTCCCCTTTACAATTTAAAGTAAAATCCTGATTTTAACTACCTTGATTTGGAAGAGGTCCTTTCAAAATCAGAATCATAATCCAGATGGCACCTCCATGGAATTAGACTATTACCAGCTCAAGCTTTTGAAATTGTTAGCCAAAATTTTGTGGTTATTTAACATGTTATTTTATAAAATTTATATTATTATATTTTAAGTGTTTAATTATTAGTGTCTGTATCAAGTAACTTTTTAATCAGAGACTTACATTTCTTTTTAAATTTCTCAATCTTACATCCAAGCAATAGAATTGGAATCAAACTTAGAATTCTAATTCTACAACCTGATTCTTTGCATGGCCAAACATAGAATCAATGATTTTATATAAATTCCACACTGACAGAATTGGTATTGAAATTAAAATTCTGAGCCATAATTCTAATTCTGTCATCTAAATGGACCTAAAAGCCATCAAATTCAAAACCCTACTTTTCAGGTACTCTTCAAAGTACTCTAACAAGTAATAACCACCAATTTGGGCCTACATCCCCATCCTACTGCAAGAAAATTTACCTGTCTTCAAAATGCCATAACCTTTCAATTTCCTTAATTTTGTATCATTTATCAACCAAAGAAAACCCAATCCATGGCTCTTTAAGACCACCCAACTTATTTTCTTCCCTACATCATCTAGTTTAGAAGATAAAATTCACAACACAACAACCAAGCCTTATCCCACTAAGACATATAATTCTCAATATCAATAAAAAAATAAGGACAATCAATAATACAAGGTGAAACACAGTTTGAAATGCAGACACCTTAATTAGATTTGTAAAAGAGGGGCTCAGGTTTTTTTATTTAAATTTAAATTTTATATTTCACTGCAGAAAGAAATTGCTATTAGATTAAATCAACTCTATTAAAGAAGCTGTCTAAGAAGATTCCACAAATATGAAACAGGGCAGGTTATACATTCAGGGATATCTAAATAACTTATGTCTGGTTACACATGAAAATCCAAATTTCCATAGTCCTCAAAACATTACATAAATCAATGACCAAACATCCATATTAACCTAGCATATAGTTCACAGAAGTATTATGATAAAACTGGTTAAGAATCTAATAGAAAGAATGATTTTGGGTAAACCCTCAAATTAGTTCCTTAGTTAGTAATGGTCATGCATATTAGTCCTTTACTTATTTAAATTGTCCTGTTAATTCTTACAAATAAGTTTGTCATGCATTTAAGTCTTTGCCGTTAATAGAAGCCTAAAAAACGTTAACTTTTGCTATTAAGTGACACATAGAAGTTAAAACAACGTCATTTAACACAATGTTAGGGACTAATCTAACCAATTTTGCATCATTGCCGCTCCACCCATCTTTGACGTTCCCTTCATCCTAACCATGACGTTCCTAGCTGCCCTCATCGCCTCCTCTCTCTCTCAAAAACACACACACACAACCTTCAAACAATGGTGGTGTTGGAGCTTCAGACAACAACCAATAATGCCCTAAACACAAACTTAGAACTCTTAGATTCCAACAATGGTGACGACGTTTTTGAAGTTCCAAAAAATGCAATGGCATTGGAGCTAGTTGTTGGGTTACAGTAGTGTGACTTCGAGGAGAGAGAGAAAAAGAGAGAGAAGTGACAAGGGCTTTGGAGGTGCAAACCACCATGCTGATTGTAGCTCCAAGGAGAGAAAAAAAGAGAGAGAAGTAGTGGGGATTTGAGGGTTACAAAATAGAGAGAGAGGTGGTGGTAGACCACCATGAATAGCATGGATATGAGGAATGTGAAGAGAGAGAGAGAGAGAGAGTGGAAGGGAGGTGTGAAACATCGTTATTTTAACTTCGACATATAATTTGCATAAAAAGTTAACATTTTTTAAGCGTCTATTAACGACAAGAACTTAAATTCATGACGAATTGATATGTGAGGGACTAATGGGATAATTTAAATAAGTAAATGACTATTATGCACGATGTTACTATCTAAGGGACTAATTTTAGGGTTTACTCAATGATTTTGTATTGATTAACCCTAAATCTCAATTGCAGTGCAAATGTGGTAGCAACCTTAGACTCAGGTAGAAGATATAAAATGAATGATATTCAAGAGACTAGGACTATTCTCACTCTTCAAGAGTCTAATTCTTTCTCAAATGATAAGATGATTTCTCTCTCAACCTCCTCTATTTATATACAGGCAATATGCCATATTTCTTCCACTATCTCAGCTGGCCCAACTTAACCTACCTAAGTAACCCCCTCACTAACAGACACCTAACTAACTACTAATGGGCATCTACCTTATTATCCACAGGATCACCAATCTGAATCATAAAAAAGAGGATACAAAAACTTTAGCAATCCTTGACAGGTAGAGTTGTATCAACCTATTTATTGGCAGACTGCAGGACAGATATAATCTCATGAAGAATATGCTAGCATAGATGAGTTGAGCCTGATAGTTAGATAGACTAGAGTCATGCAGAATAGCTTCCAAACTGTGAAAAGAAAAGTGAGGAAAGTAAAAAATACAAATAAAAAAATTTCAGAGAACATTTATATTTCACCTTCGTTCTTGGAATCAAAACGTTTCTGGGAACAGGCAATCCAGCTGAGGTTGCATACTCCTGAGCAGCTAATAGTTTGGCCTGTGTAAAGCGAGTTCCTTCTACGAAGAGAGCCAACCAAAAGGGAAGAGGGAAATCCATCAGTTGCTGTAGACCTGACTGCACATAGAATTTTGCAAGATTCAAATGAGATTCACATATAATGAAACAGCTACCAAGTGAGAGGATGTGGAGAGAGCAAGGGTGAGAGAAAATTTGCAGTAGCTTTGTAACATGGTGAATGAGTGAGAAGACATTAATATAATTAATAAAACATGTACAAATACGAATCTCTTATCACATGAACATACAGCACATATATGAATTATGCTTGAGTAACCCATACCTTTAATGTGCTTTCATCCTTGGCCCAACTTCTCTCCAGGAAAAGATACTCAGAAAACCACATTGACCAACCAATAACCTGCAAATTGGAACTTAGCTGATAGATCAACAATGACATTATATGATAACATCAGTAAACCCAAAAAATGTCCAAGTAAAGCAGATTCAAAAGCTTTCATTCCATTGTCTAATCAGGCCTTAAGCAGACATAGATGACATGATAAACCAAAACATCCAGATACAATCATACAATACTTCCTCACATTTCATATTTCATACCCCAGTATCAAATCACATTATTTCTATCATCCATGATCAAACCATTAAAACATGATTGAAAAACAAGGCCACTCCATGTTCTCATGTCAAAATAACAAGTCTTAACAAAGCATACCGGTAGAAACTTCGAAGATTTCTTCATCACAGCAAGGGTGCTGCCTAGGCAACCTGAACGCTGAAGAAAAATAATGTTCAATAATCAATCAATAGTTGTAGAAAAAACCAGATGAGTCACAGAAATGCAAACTCAAATCAAAGAATGACAAATTGATGACAAAATAGACAAATATATAAATAGGCCTAACGTATGTGTCCTTCTGTCCTAGCATGATAATGTAAAAATAATCACCATATTAAGTAAAATAAGCTATTCATGTGAATTCTATAATTTTTTTGCATTGAATATGTGAAAAAGGTCATAGAAAATAAGACAATCACCTGAGCTAAAACCCATCCAACAAGCCAATCAATATCACTTCTGTGATTTGATATGACAAGAGCATGCTCTTTACCTGGAAAATTCTAGACTGAATTAGAATTCAGATGATTTAGATTCATAAAAATGTAGGCAGTAGAAATACTCCATGTTCCATTCCAAAACACAAGTACATATGCAGTACACAAAAAGAAAGAAGACAAAGAAAGGGGAAAAACCTTGCACCAAATGCATAATACAAGAGACTTACCCATCAAACGAAAGGTTTCACGATCTGTGAATACTTGGATCTGAAACCAGAAAGTTTGAAATGAAAGATTTGATTATTCCAAATGCAGCAATAAGAACAATTACATTGCTGTAAAGTTCATGTCTGATGTCTCTCAAATTACCAAGTTTTCTACTTAGATCACATCAGTTTTTCATGATAGCAATATGCTTCAACATAGTTAAAAAAAAAAAGATAAGAACATTAGACAGGGCTATCAAGAAGAGAAGAGATCTCAGATATCAAAAGGACAGAATTTCCCTAGAATTCCTAATGTCATCACTAATAGCTAACCACCTAATCAATTAGTATCTGGTAAAGGAAGCTTGCTACAAATGGAGCTCACCAATGTAGTCCAAAGGCCTCATCTTTCCAATTGCCCTGAAGTCACACAATCACAGAAAATTCCCTTCAATTAAGACTACTTTGGACCAAGGATATCTAAGCAATCTGAGCTTCCATTTCATATGGATAAATTCCATTTTGGAATCACTAATCTCTGAAACTTTTAGTTCAAATAATATGAAGCTTTATAAAAAGAAAAAGACTAAATCTCTGTGCCAAATTGATTGATAGCTCATGGCTTGTGAGTAGTAAAATATCCAGTCTCCCCAAATTTCTGCTTCTTCCATAGTTTTGTGGCTATGGGAAGTACATGAAGAACAAATTTTATCAAAAAGGGAGGGGTAAAGTAAAAAAAGATAATGAATCCTCATAATCCTCTCTCCAGTTTCCTGTCACATAGACCCTAGTAGCACTGTGTGATGTATGAGTAGCAAATTACCATAGGATCTTCCCTCCATTTTAACGCCAAAATCCCTCAAATTAGTGAACGAAAGATCACAGTGTTGGTGAGGCGGGTGGGCAAAACTGCTAATCAATAAATGAGCTATACATTCTATTGCAATAATTTCAGCCGCATGAGAAATGTAGGAATATGTGACATAGCCTGAAAGGTTCATGATATCTAACTGGCCGTTGTTGCAGCCACAATCATGGAAAAGTAGGAGCAATGTGCCCTTTGCTCACTCAGATTCCTCACATAAAAAAATAAATACCTACTAGAGCAGCTTCAGTCGAAAATCCATACTGCACACTTGAACATCAACATTGATATTTGCTTTGTTTTTTAGTACCACAAACAACAGGACTAAGTTTAGCACCCATTTGACTTACACCTGGTAAAATCAATTCTCGCACTTTTCAATATAAATCTATGACTAAGATTGATTCTAAATTCTCAACTATTATTTCACGAAACGTGCTAGAACAACAACTAATTCAGTAATCCAATGCCACGTCACCAACACAGCAAGCAAAGTGCATAAACAACAACTAAACTAGACTTTGCACTTTGCAGCAGTGAACAACAATAAATGAACAAGATTAAAAAAAGAGAAGCTAAAACACCTTAACACCCGCCCACCAATCAATAATCCACACGAGTTCCAACCATAGCAGTTCTGCCATCACCCTGTTCATCCTTCGGTACAAATTCTTCGACACTGGCCGAACAACCACATAGCATATTGCCTGATAATATACACCACAACACAAAATCAACACCTCATAACTATCATTTAATTAACTAAAGTATATGAAGAAAACTATCTCTATTTTACTTACATAATAGTATTAACACAACATAGATAAAGGAGTTTAATGTAACGAAGACGGTTACAATTTAATTGGGAAAGGGACGAATCTAAATCTAAAACAACATCTGAAATAAATAATAATAAAATAAAATAAAATAAAAGGCCTCAGTTTAAAAGATTGATTAATGAAAATGGGAGATTTAGAGATTAATAATAAAAAGATATTAATTTTAGAAAGGAAAAAAAATGAATGAGGTGACCTGAAAGAGGTTAACGATGAGACCGGAAGCGAAGAAGAGAAGGCCCAATGGGACGATAACAGCTGCAGGTGCAACAGCCATAGCCACTAATTTTCAATTGAATTCTTCTTTTCGATGATATTGATACGTTGATGTTGGTGTTCGTGTTCGTGTTTGTGTCGATCGTCCTAATTCCTATTCCTTCCTATGCTAATATGCTATGCTATTTTGCTACTTAGTGTCTTTCTGTGTTTTGCTTGTATTTTCTTCTGCCAATCTTCTTTTCTCTTCTCTGCGTTCCAAGTTCTTTTATTATTAGTATTATTATAAACTACGCTCTGTCTCTCATCCTTACCCTCACGCACACGCTGTTCACTGCTCTCTCTCTCTCTCTAATTCAGACTTATCTAATAAAAAATATATTAAATATTATCTTTCTTATTATTTGTAGTACAAAATTTAAATCTATATTTTTAGATATTTTCGTATTTTTTAATTATAATTTTATTTTAACTAGTAATATTTTATGTACTACTTGAATATTATTAAATTAAAATAAATTTTTAATTAAAATATATTATATGTTATTTTAAAATTTTTATAAATAAAATTCTATTATATTAAATAAATTTATATAATGAGATGATAAATTGTAAAAATTAAATTAATTTAATATTAGATTAAAAAAACAATTCATAATGTAAAGAAAATACTTAGAACTGAGAAAAAAAATCAAGGTACTCACATTTAAGAAAATATTAAAAACGTCTTTTAAAAATTTGTAGTCATAAATCATATATAAAAATTAATAATTTATGATAATCTTAATTATTTACTTTTTTATTGAGATAAAATTTTAAATATAATTAAAAATATAAAAACACTTAAAAATTGTACTAAAAGTTTATTATACTTTTTATGTAAGGCAACAATGTTTTATTCAAATTTACTCTTCTTTTTTTTCAATTATCTACTTTTACCCATAAAACGGGAGTCCTTTTTGTTTTAAAATAAGTATTTTTATAAGTTATCTTAAGAGCTGTTTAAGGGTTAATTCTCTTATTCTTTATGTAATGTGACTTCCTTTGCATTAAGCATTTAATTTTTTTAAATTTAATTTTGAACTTTAAATTTTTGATAATATATTTTAAATTTTAAAAATTCTATTTTTTTATTTTGTCACATTTTTAATATAGTAATTAATATATTTACTCTTTCTAAAATATTAATTTTTTTAAAAAAATTATACTAACTCTATATGTTAATTGGGAGTCAAGCAATTTTAAAAGAAAGTATTTTAGAAAGTTTTTTTTCCCTTATTCCATATGTCTTTTTTATATTAATCATTTTTACTTTAATTTTAATTTTTTTCATTTTAAAATTCTATTTTCTTTAATTAGGATTATTTATTTAAATAGAAACTTCATTTCTAATAACCTACCTCTACATATATATATATATAATACTTTTTGTTATGTCATCTGCTTTTTCCAACATTAATAATTTTTTAATTCAATGTTAATTTAAATTTATATAATTTTTTTAATTTAGTCTTGTATAATATAAGGAAAAATTTACCATTAATGATAATACTTACTCTTCTGAGTTTATAAAATTTAATTTTAAAAATATTTATGCAGTTTTTTATTTAAAAAATTAAATATAGTTTAATATTATTTGTTTAATGCATGAAAAAATCACTGATTATAATTAAATCCACATATTAATTTTCATCTTTTTAAAACTCAAATCAATTTTTAAAAAATTATATATATAATTTTTAGAAATTATACTTTAAATAAGTTTATTTGAAATATATATTTTTTCATAAGATAATCTTAAGATTGAAGTACTTAAAAATGGAGGATGCATGCGTAATGTGGCTGTGTTTCAACTTTCATGGCCTCTTTATCTTTAAACAAACCGAAGAAAGGTTGAGTCTCCCAGGTAACGGTGGGTTGCTCCTCCCTTGTCAAGTCCCTTTCTTTTCCCACATCGTTGACCACGTTGACCACCTCGACACAGATATGATACTTTATGTAAGTTTGCATTGCATTTCTCGCAATCTCTTTCAGGTATATAATATTTAAAATTTATAAATATATAAATTTATGTGTTAGTGTGTACTAATATTTGTAGATAAATATTATTTTGGTGATGTTGCCTATCACACTTTTATGAACTTTCTAGAGCTATATAAGAAAAATAGATATCATCTTTTATAGTTTAGAAATAATTCAACAATTAAGAAGAGTTAAACTTTTCAATTATTATCATTCTAGTCTTTAAAGTACACTCAGGTATTCATTTGATTGTTATAAAGTAAGATGAAAGATATTGTATAAGATATTTCCTTTACTTAAACTATCTCCATTTTGTGCACAATTTCTTAAAATGAAATAAAGAGTATTGCATTTTTTTATTGTTGGAACAATTTGACCTCTTAATATAAGGAACAGTTTCTTCTTATATACAGTCTCATTTTCATGCCCAGCTCTTAAGAGTTTCTTACCATTAAAGTGAATTTCTTGAGATTTTTTACCATTTGAGTGAATTTGTGTTTGAATTGCTTAATGTTGATGTGGCAGTGTAGGGACCATAAAACATATTTCAATGTAAAAAAAAATCCTTTCAAGAAATCTCTGTTGAAAATCTCCTTATGAGACACAAAATAAAATTATTATTACTTGTATGATTTCATGTAATATTATTAGAATAAACAATAAAAATAGTGAAGAATTTGAAACATTTGATGATTGTTATGAATATAAAAACAACGATGGAAAGAAGAATCAAACTAATCATAGCCCTATTTTTTTTTTAATGAGTCAAATAGCCTCATTTGAAATGGATTTGTAATTTTTAATTCATTCAAAATTTTAATTATATAATATGATAAATTTTTAATAAAATAAATTTCAAGTATCAAATTATAAAAATTTACATACAAATTATTATTATTTAGTTTTAAAATTTTAATGAAATAAAAATAAAAAAATATTTTTCAGATAAAGGTCTAATATTAGATAATAAAAATCTACATAAGAATCATTATTATTAAATATTTTATTATTAATTTTTATGTTGTAAAATATATAATATAAATTTTACACTAATTATTTAAATGTAAAATAAAAAATAATTTTACTTTAAAAATAAAATTATTATTATTTAAAAAATAACTAAATAACTTTTGTGAGAAGCAATATAAATAACATCTTTTTAATAATAATCACCTCAAATTTTATAAGAGAAACGTTATCAACACACGTTCTTTAATATAATTTTAGTTAAATATATTAAAAAATTAAAAAATATAAATAAAAAATATTAATATAAAAATGAGAAAGAGTAAAATACACCTGATTTTTATTATTTTTAATAAATTATTATTTTTAAAGTTTTTTAATAAATTTTAAAAAATATATATTATAGTGTGTTAAAAAAATGTAACGTGACTAATTTTATAAGCTTGGTAGCGTGGACACGCACCCCCTCTCACTTTCTTTTATTTCTGCATCATTGGATGGTGATTTTTATATTTAAAGGGAATCTGCATTTGAATTAAAGAACAAATATGATAATTATGTAACATGTAAGCTTTCCCTTCTTCATGATTGATTCATTGGGTCCACCGTCCAATACAAACAAATTTGCTTTCTTTACGCCACTTTACACTGATTATTAAATATTTCTTATTTTTTTAATTAAGATTAAAATTTTATTTTTATTATGCAAATTATATATAATTAAAGACTTTATTAATCTCAATCTTTAAAATTGAATTTAAGCACCTTAAAAGTAAGTAAATTTTTTATTAAAAATACATTTGTTTACATAAAATTTATAAAAGTTATTATTATTAGTAGTTGGTTAAACTCAATTTTAAAAGATTGATGTTAATAATTTTTAAAATTAAATATAAATCTTGACTTTATAAGAATAGAGGTCGGCTATTTGAGCAAATTTTTTCATTTACGGCTAATATGTATTTAATTGATTGAAAACATTAACATTAATTCTTAAGTTGATTTTAAACATTTAAAATTGATCAATTTTGTTAAAACTTATTTAAGTAATTTTTTTAAATTTGAAAGATAATCTACAAGTTTGATGATTTTTTTTATCAACTGACCTTTCCTAGTTTAACATTTTGTTTATAAAAAATTAATAACTTGAGAGGGATAAGAAATAAAGATAAATTTTTATTATAAAATAATTATAGACAGAGAACATTTAATATTTTATTGAGTATTTTAATAATTAAAAGTAATTTTTTTAATACTTTATGTTCATCCATGATTGCCCATGTTAGTTTATTATATGTAATTTTTTAAATTGCTTTGTTTAATTAACATCTTTAAATACGTTAAAATTTATGAGCTTTTGTAAAAAAATCAAGAATAATTTATTGTGAGTATTAATGAGTTAACCTAAAGTTAAATATTGACTTCATAAGAATATAGGTCGGCTACGTGAGCACCAATTCTTCATTTAGGACTAATGTATTTAATTAATAAAATTTTTAACATTGATTATATTATTAATAAAATAAATATACTTTTCTAAAATAAGTTAAATTAAATATGCATTATGCTTTGATTTCACGATAATGAATATTAATGAGTTAACCTAAAATTAAATATAAATCTTGACTTATAAAATAGAGTCGGCTACTTGTGCCAATTTTCCATTTAGGGATAATACATTTAATTAATACAAGATATTAATATAAATTTTTAGAACTAATTAAATATGCATTATGCATTGGTTATATTACTGTTTTAAATATTTAAATTTATTTTTAAAGACTGATTTTAATAAAATTATTAATTAACTAATACCTTTTAAAAATTTTCAGTAGATATATGTGCATTTTCATTATTTTACATACTAAGGAAGCCATTCCTTTAGTAAAGTAAATTCAATAATTATTAATATTCATCCATGATTGTCGAAAATACAGTATTGCCCATATAGGAGCCTCTCATCAACTGTCTTCAACTATAATATTACGTATTCGTTTGATTTAAAATTAAGCGAAATTCATTAAATATAATTAAAAATAATAAAAATTATATATTTTCATTAAGAAATACGAAAATTAATCTTTTTATTTTTAAACAATCACCCGTTGTTCTGTTTAAGAGTTTTAAATAAAATATATTTGATTAAAAAATTATTTATAGTGTCATTCAATTATAAAATATTATATTTATCAATTTTAATTAGTTGATAGTATCAAAAACCTAATATCGATGACATATCAAAGTTAAATTTTTAAAAAATATTTTAATAGCTTATGATGCTTTGATAATATCTCCTTTATATATTTTTTGATAAAATTAAAATATATTTAGTTTCTGTAACATTTACTTGCAAATTAGGTTTTATGATTAACAAATTTACATATTAGTTCTGAGTATTTTATCATGCTTTAATCTTTGTTATTTTAACACTGTTAAAAAAAATGTTAGCGTGCGTCGATAATGATATCTCAACTCATTTTAATGATATTAAACGTTACTTTTTCTGATGTTATTAAAATAATACTAAATAAAGTACAATGAAATAATCATATAACGTGCCTCGATGATGGTATCTCAACTTGTTTTAATGATATTAACTTTACTTTTTCTAATGGTATTAAAATAATACATTAAAAATAGATTAATTTATAAATAAGTTTTAAATATTTATTTTAATTAAATAATTATCCTTTCATTTTAACCTAAAATAGAAACCGCACAGTGAGAAGGGTAATATAGTCTTTTGAATATCGTGAAACTCAGTTGGAGCATGATTCAGCACTGTCCGGGAAAGACAACCTTGGTGGCTTGTGATTCCTTTCACAAATCCACTTCTCTAAACGTGAAACCAAAACTCAGAATGTTACATGCTGAGAACGAACAACAAGTGAGTGGTCCCAATGTCCCACGTCGTTATATTATAGTGCTTGCCAACTTTGTATTGAAATAGTTGCAGGAAAACAAAACATTTAAAAAAAAAAAAGACTCAATTTTTGGCACTCCCATTGACCCTTTTGTGTTTTGTGGTAGCTGGCACCGAAAAGAAGCCACCTTGGCAATTCAATTGTTGAATTGGCCAAACCTAGTTCTTGCCCATCTTCAATTTCCGCATGAGGATCTCTGTTTTGGAGCAAAGGCTTCAGATCCGAGAAAGGTGAGTCAAAGCTCTGCAGTTGTCAGAATACTTATGCAGGATCACATAATCTTTGCCTTTGTTTATTGAATTCACTTGTGATTCTTCAGTTTTTGAGTTGAAAATCCAAATGGGTTTGCATTAGTTGTAGCATATTGCTGCCACTGTTTATTCTCTTAATGTATAAAATAAAAGGTTTTTATATTTGTAAGTTTTAAGCCTAGGTGAGCTTTGTTGTGACTCTGTTTCTGATATGTGCATACGGGATATGGCTTTGGTCATTGTGAGCAAGGGTTTTTATTGTTGCTATTTCAGGTTATGATGTCAGAAGAGTCTGGGAATCAGAAGAGTTTGTTTTGTGGTGTTGCGTTGCGATTTAGAATGGCAAGAGACTTGTTATTAGATTTGTTCTCAAGGAACAAATGGAGGTGCTCTTGGTCTCTTGCAGCATCAATTGCTTCTGTTGTGGCGTTGGTTTCTGTAGTGCATCTGTTCTTGTTCCCTTTGACACCAACTTTCAGTTATTTCAAGATAGCTCAGGACTCATGCATCCCAACAAATGCATCAGCAGAATTGCCAAGCAACCTCGACAAGGAAGGACCTGTGATTGATTTTAAGCGTCAGTTTCCGGCTGATTTGCATGGTGCATTTGTTTATGAGGGTGCACCGTGGAAGGCTGAGATTGGCCAGTGGCTTGCAGGTTGTGATTCTGTTATTAAGGAAGTCAACATTACTGAGGTGACAAGGATACCTTAGTTTTTGTTTACATTCTTTTTCTTCTTTATGAGTTGTTGTTGGCATAGCATTGGCTTGATATCTGTTCATTGAAAGTAATTTCTCCCCTTAATTTTATAACAGATAATAGGTGGCAATGACTGCAAAAATGACTGCAGTGGCCTAGGGGTTTGCAATCGAGAATTGGGACAATGCAGATGTTTTCATGGGTATTCTGGTTAGTTTTCTATCATTTATTGGCCTGATACATAATGCTTAATGAGAAGCAGCAAATAGTAGAATTAATTCTTTTTAACAATCTTGCAGTTTTAGCTTTCTTACTAACTCTCTTAATATAGCTATGATCACAATTCTACTTTATTTAGACATTGATTTTGCACTCATTCTTTGGTGACCGGTAAAAAATATTAAAAAAAATCTATAATTCTTTTAAGAAAATCATATTTTTTTAGAAAAAATTGTTAAAAAATATCTTAATCAATTCTTACCTAAAATAAATTTTAATTTTGATTGTTCTAATTATAATTTCTTACCTAAAAAAATTAAATTTTAATTATTACAAAATTGAATAGAATTATTATAATTTAATATCAAATTAGTATTATATGTGCATAAATTTTTTTTCCTTTTTAATATATACATATATATATATATGTATATATATATTGAAAAGTAAAAAAATTAAATAATTATATATATATATATTAATTAATTTTGATAAAAGAATAATTTTATCATTTAAATATAATTTATATTTTCTTCTATTTGTTTTTGTTTTTCTCAAACATTAAAAAAATGACATAGTGCTATTTATTTTACTATCCTGATAAAAGCTTATCCTTTCCCTGAATTCTTTCTATTTCTTACATGTGATGTCTCATGATTATAAATAAGCTGTGTTGTAGTTCTTACTAGTTACATCTAAGTTTTAACTAATAATACTTTTTTATTGCTATATATGTTAACGTTCTCTGATTTGCTTGAAACAGACCAATAAAGAAAATTACATAACGTGCTGCTTCTGTTTCCTGAATATCTTTGATCATTGCACAAAAGCATATTTAATTTATTAGCTCATCTGAACAACCATGCTATTTTCTGTGGTGAAAGGGCATGGATGCACTGACAAATTGCAGTTGGAATGCAACTACAAAGGATCACCAGATCAGCCATTTGGGCGATGGGTTGTCTCAATTTGCCCATCCAACTGTGACAAGACGAGAGCTATGTGCTTCTGTGGAGAAGGCACAAAATATCCTAATCGACCTCTGGCAGAGACATGTGGGTTTCAATTTAAGTATGTAAAATCAGATTCCTAGTAACCAGTTTCACTGGCTAATTTTCTCAATTTCTTTTATTCAACTCACACTCTTTACATCTGTTTCAGTCCACCTTCTGAACCTGGTGGTCCCAAATTAGTGAATTGGACAAAAGTTGACCAAGATGTGTTCACAAGTAATGGTAGCATACCAGGATGGTGTAATGTGGACCCAGCTGAAGCATATGCTGGCAAGGCAAAAATCAAAGAGGAATGTGACTGCAAATATGATGGTCTTTGGGGCAAACTTTGTGAAGTACCAGTTGAATCTGTTTGCATTAATCAATGCTCAGGACATGGCCATTGTCGTGGTGGATTTTGTCAGGTGTTTCTTTTGTTTATTATTGTGACATCTATGTTGGTGTCTCATTTGTTTACTAGAATATAAACTTTGTTGGTCATCTATTATTTTCATTTTGCAGTCATAGAGACTGACTGATGGCAAATAAATTACTACTAAGACATGTAGGATGAATAATGTTGTTTTAAAACATTTAAGCCTATTATTAAAAAGGTCTTATACCTAGAAAAGTTGTGGCTGACCACATGTATATTTAGAAACCAGTTAACTTGATGCTGGAGGAGTATAAACCTATTAGGACAAAAATTAAAGACAGAGAAATGAAAGATTAATGAAGAATTAAAAATTCATGGTAAAAGGTAGCATAGGCTCACAACTTTGGAGACCTTCTATATGGATGCTATTTCAATTTATGATAATTTGTGATTTTTGTTTCCAGTGTTGAGAGTCTGTACTTGCTAGAATTAGAACTAAGAAGCCTACAATGTGAATCTGTATGATGTTGAGTAACAATTTCAAGAATGAAATCGCTTTGAAATACTAAATGTCAATTATTAAAAGTCCTAACTAATGTCTATTTTGATTCCTTTAAACGACATTGATAAGTTTCTCCAGGGTAAGAACAGTAAGAAAAAATAAAATCACTTTCACTTTCTGTGCTGTCTATTTGCTTCCATTCATTGTATGTAGATAAACTGAATGTTGTGCATTTGTAGCTCCTTCAATACAACGTCATCAAATATGGTGAATATATTGTATTTTCAGTGTGACAATGGCTGGTATGGAGTAGATTGCAGCACTCCATCAGTGATTTCTTCTATAAGAGAGTGGCCTAGTTGGCTGCGTCCTGCTCTAGTTGATGTTCCAAACGATGCTCAAGCCAATGGAAAAATGATCAATCTTAATGCTGTGGTAGCAAAGAAAAGGCCTCTTATATATGTTTATGATTTGCCCCCAGAGTTTAACAGCTTGCTACTTGAGGTTAGGGTAATCTGTGTGTCATTCTTGGCTCCCAAGAGGAAGTTTTTGATTTTTTTTTTCTAATTTTATTTTTTATTCTATTTTGGTTATTGTAGGGACGCCATTTTAAGTTAGAGTGTGTAAACAGAATTTATGATGGCAATAATGTGACATTATGGACAGATCAATTGTACGGTGCCCAGGTATTTCATGACTTTTAGATAGGAGCATTTCATTTGGTCAAATTAACATTTATTGCAATATATTTATCATGTGCTTCTACTTGTCTGCAGATAGCAATTTTTGAGAGTTTGTTAGCTAGTCCTCATCGAACTCTAAATGGTGAAGAGGCAGATTTTTTCTTTGTTCCTGTTCTTGATTCATGTATCATAACTCGTGCTGATGATGCTCCTCACTTGAGCATGCGGGTATATCTTATTAAATGTTAATTTTTACTGGAATATATCTGTTGGATGTCTATTGCTGCATGTGGCATATGTATAGAGACTGAATGCATCACTGTTTGATGCCTATGCATGCTAGTAGTGCTTTTAGATTTCTCCAAGTTACAATATCTGTGATTAGTTGGATGACATGACGGTCAACAATGACATCTATGTTATAATGTACATGGATTTACTTTCCACCAATGTTCCTAAATAGTAATTTCAAAATGGGAAAGCAGTTGCTCGTGATGTTTTTTTTTTCTTTTTGGATGGAATAATAGAAATACCTTCAGTTATCTATTACTTGTTCTTACCATCAGGAATGTAGATCTGTTTTGTAATATGTATGTGTGTGTGTGTGTGACTAATAGTGTTGGCTATAGATCCATGTTTTACACTGTTACTTTCCACTTTTTCTTATGTTTTCTTTTATAACATTCAGGAGCATATGGGATTGAGGAGCGCTCTCACTTTGGAATATTATAAGAATGCTTATAATCATATTGTTGAACAATATCCTTATTGGAATCGCTCCTCAGGAAGGGATCACATCTGGGTATGTACAAGGAGAATTGTTTTGAGTAAATGCACAATTAGTACTTGACAGTGACATTCCGTTTACTTTTTACCCCTGAAAGTTTTGCTTTGTACCTCAGATGTATTAACTTGCTTCCATTTTGTTCCTTTTTGGAAACTATTTGGTCCCTAAAAGTGTTGATGTGTGGAATTTGGTCCCCAAATATGTTAATTTCCATTGCATTTTACTCCCATTCTGCTTACATTTTTGTGAGGGAAGGACACAAATTTGAGTTAGTTAACACATTCAAAAACTAAATTGTAGAAATGAAACTTTCAGCAACCAAAGATAAATAGAATGTCATTTTCAGAGATCAAATTGTATATTTACTCGTTGGTTATCTCAAGTTGAAGATTATTTTAATGAAGTAAAATTCATTGTATTTGCTTGTGAGAAGCACATGCTAATAATTTCACTTTTGTTTCTGAAGGCAGTTTTTTTCATGGGATGAAGGTGCTTGCTATGCCCCAAAGGAGATATGGAACAGCATGATGTTAGTTCACTGGGGAAACACAAATTCAAAGCATAACCATTCAACTACAGCCTATTGGCCTGACAACTGGGATAAAATCTCTTCTGATAGCAGAGGCATTCATCCATGTTTTGACCCTGACAAAGATCTTGTGCTTCCTGCTTGGAAAGTTCCTGATGCTACTGTGCTGACTTCAAAACTTTGGGCTTGGTAAATATTTGTCAAATAATTAATTTTAAGCTCAATCATTTGCTTTATTTTTCTAGTTGTGCTACAATCTTGTATTCTATTCATTCAAGTTCTAGAAATCAGACAAAGCAATCATATTATAATCTGTCTTCAGGCCCCATGAGAAGCGGAAGACACTGTTCTACTTCAATGGGAATTTAGGGCCATCTTACCCTCATGGAAGACCAGAAGATTCGTAAGTATAGTGTGACATATACTGCGTGGTTAAAGCATGTTCACTCTTTTCTAATTAGTAGCCTTGACATCTTTTTGCCTAATGCTGTGTATGAAATTGAATAATTTCTCTCACTTCCATGTAAAAGAAATTGGATATATTGTTGGTCACCTGAAGTTACTTCAGATTTAGATATGTTATCAAATGTTATAGAATATCTGGGTTCACGTTTGTTGGAAATCATGCAGGTATAGCATGGGTATCAGGCAGAAGCTGGCAGAAGAGTTTGGGTCAAGCCCTAACAAGGATGGAAAACTTGGGAAACACCATGCCAAAGATGTCATTGTGACCCCAGTGCGTTCTGATAACTATCATGTGGATCTGGCAAGCTCTGTTTTTTGTGGAGTATTTCCGGGAGATGGTTGGAGTGGTCGCATGGAAGACAGTATTTTGCAAGGATGCATTCCTGTGGTCATTCAGGTATTAAGTTAAGCTCTTCTTTTTCATTTCTTATATGGAAGATAGATATATTTTCTGTTTTAGTGACCATGTTTTCCCGGTGCTAAGGAAGTTTAACTCACTTGTACAGCTGACAAATCCTATGAATTACGTTCAATAAGCAAATGGATGTTAACGGAATGATGTTGTATATATATTGTCGGAAGGTGATATATATTGGAAATTAGTGGTGGTTCATCTTTCTGTATGTTTTCATAGCTTTACATAGTACTTTAGAAATGCTTCAGGGCTTTTGATTAATGAGGAAAGTAGCTTATTTAAGCTTTCTTCTTCATGTTAATAATGGTCTGGTATATCTTTCAAAATTGATCACTAAATGATTTAAATTATCAATGATGATAATGGTATTCCTTTTGCCTCTTTGTTTCCTTGTTCTGTAGGATGGGATTTTCCTACCATATGAGAATGTGCTCAACTATGACAGCTTTGCTGTTCGAATATCCGAAGAGGAAATTCCAAACTTGATAAAGATTCTTCGGGTATTTAATTTCCTCATTTTATCTGTAATTGTTTCTGGCTATTGCATAGTTGATAGTACAAGTTAAATCTAGACACTGCATAAAATCTTCGTCATAGGCATGATTGGTTGAATGACTGGTAATCCACTTCTTGCAGGGATTCAACGATACAGAAATCAAATTCAGGCTGGCAAATGTTCAGAAAATATGGCAAAGATTCTTGTATCGTGATTCTGTTTTGCTTGAAGCTGAAAGGCAAAGAAATGCTTTTGGACATGTTGAGGATTGGGCAGTTGAGTTCTTAAAATTGACAGAGGATGATGTTTTTGCTACTTTAATACAGGTACTCATCTTTATTTGACAAACCTATTTTAGAATGGGTTTTAAACTTCTGAGAGTTGTTAGCTATTAGGTGTTATGATAATCAAGCTTTGACAACACAGAGAAAACAAAGTTAGGAGCAAATAAAAACTTCTATTTGATTGCACAGAATGCTGATTTAATGCCCCCTCTCCACCGGCACAAAAGGAAAATAAAACACCTCAAATTTTTATTATATTGAAACAGCCACTCTGAAGTCAGCTAGCAGAACCTTCGCCTAGTTTGGATAAGTCTTTGCAAAAGTACTTGTAAGAGAAGAAAATAATGAGATAAAACAAATAAAATCCTTCTCATATACTTGAAAAAAGGGAACAGAATATTATATGAATAATATTAGAATTTCTTGATTAATTGAGAGCCTGTATAAAATATATTTATATAGACTACTAGTCTCCTAATTAAGGAAATAAGAACTGTATAAATCAAATCAGCCAAATTTATCCTTAATTACAGAATAAATCTCCTAATTATAATAAATCTCCTAATTATATTTTATAATACTCCCCCTCAAGCTAGTGAATGTATATCTGTCATTTCCAGCTTGCACGTAAGATCTTTAAACTGTTTGGTGGGAAGTCCCTTGGTGAACATGTCTGCCAACTGCAGTCTTGAAGGAATGTACTCGGTGGCTATAAGACCGTTGTCCAATTTTTCCTTAATGAAATGTCGGTCTATCTCTATGTGCTTTGTTTGATCATGTTGAACTGGATTGTGCGCAATGCTGATGGCTGATTTTTTATCACAAACCAGTCTCATGGGAACTTCATACTTTATTTTGAGGTCAGCAAGTATTATCTTCATCCATAACAGTTCACAGACCCCTTGTGCCATAGCTCTAAATTCTGCCTCTGCACTTGATCTTGCAACCACATTTTGCTTCTTGCTCCTCCATGTCACCAAATTTCTACCCATGAATATGCAATATCCTGTAGTGGACCTCCTATCAACAACTGATCCTGCATAGTCAGCATCGGTATACACTTCCATGGATAGGTTTTCCTCCTTTTTAAATAGCAATCCTTTCTCTGGAGAGGCCTTCAAGTACTGAATAATTTTATTTACTGCCTGCAAGTGTCTTTCTCTTGGATCATGCATGAACTAACTAACTACACTAACTGCATAGGCTATGTCTGGCCTAGTGTGAGATAGATAGATAAGCTTTCCCACAAGTCTCTGGTACTGTGTCTTATCTACCTTTGGGCTTCCATCATCATTTCCAATTCTATGATTTTGCTCTATGGGTGTTTCAGTGGTCTTACAACCCAACTTACCAATTTCTTTAAGAAGATCAAGAATGTATTTCCTTTGGGAAATAAAAATACCCTGTCTGGAGTATGCAACTTCTATCCCAAGGAAGTACTTTAGTTTATCGAGATCCTTCATCTCAAATTGAGCAGCCAACTTCTTCCTCAAATTCTGTTTTTCCATTTCATCGTCTCCTACAATAATCATATCATTCACATAGACTAAAAGTAGAGTGAGTTTGCCATCTTGTAAGTGTTTTATGAAGAGAGTATGATCATCTTGGCTTTATTTGTACCCTAGAGATACCATGGCCTGAGTGAACCTCCCAAACCAGGCCCGAGGTGACTGTTTGAGGCCATACAAGGCTTTCTTTAATTTGCAAACCTTACTTCCTCCACCAGCAACACCATATCCAGGTGGAATTTCCATATATACTTCTTCATCTAAACTTCCATGTAGGAAGGCGTTTTTAACATCGAACTGATGCATCTCCCAACCAAAGTGTGCTGTCAAGGAGAGGATAATTCTGACTGTGTTCATTTTTGCCACTGGAGCAAAAGTCTCGTCATAATCAATCTCATAGGTTTGGGTGTATCCTTTTACAACCAGCCTCGCTTTATACCTGTCCAGTGTGTCATCCGAGTGATACTTAATAGTATATATATCTACCGACAACCCACTGCTTTCTTATCCTTTGGTCTCTCTACAATCTCCCAAGTCTCATTCCTTTCTAATGCACCCATTTCATCATTTATGGCTTGAACCCAATTCTTATCCTTTTAAGGCTTCTTGTACTGATGCAGGGATTATAATAGAATCAATAGCTGAAATAAAACTTTGGTGCTGCATAGAAAGATTTTTAGTAGACACAAATTGGGATATAGGATATTTGGCACAAGATCTTTTTCCTTTTCTTAAGGCAATTGGTAAATTATCTGGGTTAAGATCACAAGAGATATTTAAGGTGTCCTCAAGATTATGAGTTCTTACCTCCGGTTCAGAAATTGAAGTTGCTGTTCGACCAGGTCGGGTTTTTCTCTTCGCTGATGTTGAATCTCAAAATGTCTAACTTCATTATTCTGCATTGGTCTAGGATCTTTGTCATCCTCCAGAAGAGTGGAATTTTGCAACAAAGGAATAGATGACAACTCAAGGAACTCAGCTTCTTCTAGGTTACTCTCCCCCTGATGTTGAGTACTAGTGAAAAAAGGTTCTGTTTCATGAAATGTGACATCTTTGGAAACATAAACACGACGACTTTGGGGTTGATAACATTTGTATCCCTTTTTGTTTGAGGCATAACCTATGAAGACATATTTGATAGCTTGAGGATCTAACTTTCCCCGATGAGTGCTATGACATGGACAAAAACTGAACAACCAAAGACACGATTTTTGAGGCTGGGCATAATGGGGTTAGAAGGATAGAATGAAGTCATGACTTGAACAGGGCTAACATCATCAAGAACACGAGAGGGCAATCTATTGATTAAATATGTGGCAGTGAGAATAGCTTCCCCCCAGTAAGACTTAGGGACAGACATTTGGAAGAGTAATGCTCTAATAAGATGACGATTTTTTCTTTCTGCAACCCCATTTTGTTGGGGGGTGTCTACACAGGTTAACTCATGAATAACTCTTTTCTTTAAGGAAATTGGAGAGATTTTGATTTACATACTCTCCCATTATCAGAACGCAATCTCTTAATAGGACTCCCAAACTGTGTTTGAACCGTTTGGTAAAAATTAACAAACAGCTGGAAAACTTCAAACTTATCTTTCATGAGGAAAATCCAGGTAACCCGTTGACACGTGGTCGCACATGGGTCAAAATAAACTTAATTACTATAGTACGAGGTAAGCAACTAGGGTCATTTCTCAAAGAATCACAAGATCAAATTAATCTATTTAGAGAGTATATAAAACGGGGGTTAGTTTATAAGAGAAACAAAAAACGCACTTAATTATAATTAGAATGAAGAGTGAACAAAAATTAAAATTCTAATCCAAGAATTAAGAAGAAAAAATGACTACTGTATCACCAGATTTTTAAGAGAGTACATCAACAAACAATTCGGTAATTAACAATAAATCCGAATGAAATCTCAATTCGAACTCAGCATTCATATGAAAATCTTCATGCATTCGATTAGCACATAATTAATTAAAATTCAGAAAATTCTAGAACCTAATTGAATTGTGCTAATTTAATTTACCAATGCCGTTAATCGTAGTTTTCAAAACTTGAAAATCCAATTCATTTTCCTTAAAACTCAATTACATACATCAATCGAATAATACGTAATCAACCAGATGCATAATCATCAATCCAAACGAACAACTTTAATTCAAAAATATAATTAGCAAAAGGAAAAAATAAGGAATAGATGAAACCAAAATTGTTATTGAATTTATGCCAATGTGAGATCAATCCTCAAGAGTGTCACGTCTCTTTTAATCCTTGAATTAGATGAAAATCTAAGCCTCTATGGATGGAGGGAAACAAGTCGTAAAAGGGGAAAAAAAAACGAAAACAGAGAAGAGAGGAGAGGAGCCAAAAAATTAAAATTCCAAATTCAAAATTCCGTTCGTCACTTTGTTCCATTTTTTCGGTTATGAAAACGGCCTCTTTTTGGTTTGTGGCCTGAAGGACAATTGTAGCCTTGGATGTCAGCTTCAAAACGCCACTGGAATGGGCTTAATCGGATGTCTGTGGACTGAGATATGGCCCAAATACTGCACCTTACTCAGGATCCGCGACTGCAGTGTTCCGACTTTTTTCAGGCCCAGTTTCAGCTTCTTATCATCAGAATTGGTTTCTGACCTCTTCATAGAAATTGTGCACCTTTCTTTTAGCTTTCCTACAAATCAAGAATCATAATGAAAGGAGTTCTACAACTCAAGATATGATCCAGAAACCAAAACAGTATCAGAATTTGCCAAATACTGAAAAAATTAAATAAAGTCCAAATAAAATTCAAACATCACAAAATGATCCAATTCAACCAATTAGGCCCAAAAGAGGATTAATGAGTTAGGAATTAGAGGAAATAATGTTATAAAAATCCAATTGATCACCCATTTACGGTCATTAATAAAAGAAATAAACCACTTGGCACCAGAAATATTAGGAGTAGATGCAGGCCCCCACACATCCGAATGAACAAGATCAAAATGTTTTGAACTTTTATTATTACTGGGAAGAAAAATTGTTCAATGATGTTTAGCAAATTGACAGACATCACAATGAAAGGACTCAATTGACACTTTTGTAAATAAAAAAGGAAATAATGACTTAAGAACACTAAAAGGAGGATGCCCAAGACGCCTGTGTTGAAGCCATATCTGGGAGGAAGACCAAGATTCTGAATTTATTTGATTGTTGGATGTGAATGTTTGTTGTTTGGTGCACTCTTTACTGTCTTCATGCTGTAGGTAATATAACCCGTCCTGCTCTTTAGCAATTCCAATCGTCCTCCCCATGGCATGATCTTGAAAAACACAATGGGAGTGGAAAAAGTGACTGCACAGTTTAAGTCTTGGGTGATCTTATGAATAAACAAAAGGTTATTAGATAGTTGTGGAACATGAAGTACATTTTTAAAAAAAAAGAAAGATTGAAGTTGAATGTTGCGACAACCAGTAACAGGGGTATGAGAACCATTAGCAACAGTGATATGTTGGTTACCAAATGAAATGGAATAGGATGAAAAATAAGGAGAATGAGGTGTCATATGATCAGTAGCACCAGAGTCTATAATCCAGATATTTTCAGTATCAGAACCCTTAAAGGATAAGAAGTTAGAACTCTTACTAGTCATGGTTAAGGAATAAGAACTAGATGTCTTACTAAGAGAGTCCATAAGAGCCCTTAGGCATTTCAACTCTGCTTTGCTGAGAGCTAATACCTCATTTTCTGTTGTTTGGGCAGATGGGGCAGTTTCATAGTCAGATGTCACCTGATTAGCACGTCGTTGTGTAAGCCCTTTGAACCCTCCAGTTCGCTCAAGAACCTTCTCCTTGCCATGGAACCTAAAACATGTCTCCTTAGTGTGGCCCGTCTTCCTACAATAACTACACCACCTATCTTCACGACTAGCTTTTATTGGTGGCCTTCCAAATGAAGAGCTTTTTACAGGACCCTTGCCACTAGCTAAGGCTGAACCATTCATAGAACTCTTGTTCGTAGCCAAGGCTGAACCATCAATAAAATTGCCCCCTTCTAGCATGACTGACCTCCAAGTTTCTTCACCTTGTACAATGTGAAACACCTCTGAGAGAGAAAGAAGTTCATTCTTGCCCAGAATTAGTCCATGCGCCCCCTTCTAGCATGACTGACCTCCAAGTTTCTTCACCTTGTACAATGTGAAACACCTCTGAGAGAGAAAGAAGTTCATTCTTGCCCAGAATTTGAACCCGAATTGGAACTTAAAGATTCGCACCTTTTCTAGGAATGCTGTCAGTGTGTTTGAATCAGTTGTACACTCCATTTTCAAATTCTGATACTGGTCCAACTCAATCCACAAACCATTTAATGTTTCGTAGTAATCTGTTACTGAAAGACTCCCTTGTTTGATATTAAAGATCTTGCTCTCTATTTCATAACATGCTGCAGTATCCTTCTTTATAGAATACGTCTTTCTAAGGTTCTCCCAAAGGAATTGGAGAAAAACATGCAATTCCGACTAATCTCCGGTGTCATAGAATGCCACAGCCAGGTCATGATCAGAGAGTCTTCATCATCCCAAGCTTCATATTTTGGGTTCGTTTTGGCTGGAGGGTCTTCTTCAATGTGACTCAACTTCTTCTGTCCCTTAAGGGTTGTGCGAACCAACTGAGCCCACTGTAAATAGTTTCGCCCATCAAGGCAATAAGAGCCTTGCAGAACCTGTAGATCATTGGTACTCAAAATAGGGGCTGTCTTGTCTTAAGACATATTAGGAGAATGAAAAAATGCAGAAACAAAAATTTGATGAACAGTACCGCATTTGAACAATAATGCGTTTGAACAGTAACCGCTTAATTTAGAATCTTTTAACATTACTTAAAAAAGGCTGTATTAAGATGAAATGACCCTTGGAACAGAATCAGGGATGGTCTGCGACCAAGTCTGTGGTGGTTTGGTCAAAAACGGCAGCTGAGAAGGCGGCACGTGACGTACATGTGCCGGAGACAGAACCAGCGATTGACGGAGAAATTTTGGGGGTAGGCCGACCTTGAAGAGGCGCTCCTCCTGATGTGTTTTTTTGGTTGGGTCCACAGTGGTCGGTAGCGGATTGCGACGGACAGTGCTAACGTGCACAGATTCGCAGCAATGAAGGCTGCCTAGAAGATGCGGAAGCAGAGCCCTCTAGATTGGGAACTCTGATACCAACTTGAAAAAAAGGAACAGAATATTATGTGAATAATATTAGAATTTCTTGATTAATTGAGAGCCTGTACAAAATACATTTATATAGACTACTAGTCTCCTAATTAAGGAAATAAGAACTATACAAATCAAATCAGCCAAATCTATCTTTAATTACAGAACAAATCTCTTAATTATAATAAATCTCCTAATTATATTTTACAACACATATGTTAAAATTAACTTATGCATCTCATGTTTTAGAGAAGTTAATTGAGAAAGCTTCTAAAATGGTAGAACAGTATTAAGTTGATTTTAAGTTATGAAAAATGTTTTATTTGTTTTATCTTCTTATTTTCTTCTTCTATAAGTACTTAAGCAAAAACTTATCCAAATTGGGCCCTCGTTAATTGTGTTTTTTAATAGCTTACACACCATATCTTGGCTAGAAAGGAGATTAGAAATCCTTTTTGATTTCATAAAATGATTAATTTCCAATTTCCAAGTCAGTTATGAGAGTGTAGGACAAGACAGATGGTTTCCTTTGACATAATTGTGCTATTCAATTTTGTGCCAACTAATTTCAAATTGGATACGTTATGAGTTGCAGACACTATGGATGAAAAGAAGCATGATGAAGTAGAAAATAAATAATTTACTTGTGCAATTCATCAGTGTATTTGTGTATATATATTTTTCCTTCTGACAAACAGTTTGTGTTAAATAAGGTTTTGCATTACAAGTTACATAATGATCCTTGGAGGAAAGAAGTTCGCTATAACAAGAAGTTTGGATTACCTCACCAGTGTCTAGTAAGCACCAACTGAGGGACTTGATTGATGTGAAGGTTAATTTGAAGACTACAAGATCTAGATATTTCCAGAGGAGTTGGGGAAAGGATAACCTTTCTACTAAATTTCAGGAGTCAATCTAAAAAATATTTGCATCCTTTGTTGTAGAACAAGGTGAAGGTCAAGTTCCTAACAGATATTACAATCTCCAGTACAGTAAATCATTCTACCAGGGTGGACATACATGATTCTTTTTCCCTTCTCGCATAAATATGTGCATGTCAAGTGCATTTACATTTCTTTTTTTAGGGCTTTTTCTCCCGGGCTGCCACAATGTGGAATTGTAAAATCATGTCATTCACGAGAGGATTTTTTGGTGAAAAAATGAAAAAGAAAAAATTGATTACATATTTATTTTACTTGATCCTTTTTTGTTCTCTATAAAACATACCATGCGGATCTTTGATTAGGTCAACAATGTGGTGTTTTACTGCACTTTCTAGAACTTGAGATTGATCCATACTAGCGTGACTATGATATTATCATAATACATATTAATGATTATGTTTAGATAAGTAAAATCAACATCCATTTCAGCATTCCTATTAAAGTTATGTATAGTTGTTATTGAACAAACTATTTCAACTGGTGTTTTCAATTTGAATTTAAGCGTGCTACGCAAAATTACAAACCTCTTTTTATGCTCTAAAAGCTTTTTCTACTGTGCTCTTTAGATTTGAGTTATAAAATTCAAGACTTTATTATGATTTGCAAAGCTAGATTTACTCCTTAAATTAGGAAAGTGGTAGTGTTTACATGTGTATGGAACGAAGGTACAATAGGCCTGTTAGTAAATCAATACTTATATTTGTCCTCAATAAGCGTATGATATTACACCAATTCAGTAATTAAGATTTAGTCCTTAGACATCAAATCACATATTAATATATATGGCAGGGAATAAGGCATCAAAAAAGGAACAACCAGAACGTTAGACATGAAAATGGGTAGAGAAGTACTACAATATCACACCAATTCAGTAGGCCTTAGTCCTCAGGCATCAAATTATATATTAATATAAATGACAACAAACATTAACTCAAGATGAAGTTGGTCTTAATCATAACAATAAGTTACATAAGAAAGTAGTCCAGACCATAAGATTTAAGAAGAGTTACAGGCATTATAATCAACCTTGTTCAAATCCTACATAAACCAGTATTCAAGCTAAATCACTTCCTAGTAATCCAAATCCTAGTACAGAATCTAAATTGACCAAATGGTTTCGTTTCATGAATGGCAAAGGGTTATTTGCTGCATTCCTAAGCCAATTTAGTTTTTTTATCCCTTAAATCTTGTAAGGCAACAAACATTTCCCTCACTAGCTTGAACATTAAAAATAATAAATGAGTCTTATCTCATTAGATAAGGTCGATTACAAGTATCACTAAGCAAGATCAGCTTGAATATCAGAAAGTGACGACATTTAGTATGAAAAGTAGTAGCAGTTGATATACATCTAACACAGTTAAGAATAAAGTTCATGAGATCTACATCGAAAGGGAAGAAAGTGCTTCATAAATATGTTTGGTGAAATTAAATTGTTGGAAGCATCTTCCTTAGATGGTGTTTGGTGACAAGGGAAAATGCAAATTGAAGAAGGGTTGAAAAGAGATCACGAATAATACTTAAATTTGATGTGTGTCTACTCGATCCAAAAGTAGCCCCTAGTAGCGTTGACTTCAACTTGTGTTAGTAGGAAGTGATACGAGTTGCAAATGAATTCAAATATGTTGCTCAACAAAGTTTGTCGAATGATTGACACCCAAATTCTATACAGGGTAGAGAATTCACACACAATCAAATATGCATCATTTCACCTAATGAAAAAAATTATCATCATACTCTTTTAAATACATTTTTTAATGCAATCTTTGTAATTGATTTTTTTTAAAATGTCAAGACACTTGTTTCGTAAATTGATCTTTTAAAAGTTTCTTTAAATTTTTTTATTAAATAAATCTATCACAAGAAATGTGTAAAAAAATATGTCATAGAAGGTATCTTGCTGACATTTCTTCTCAGCTAATTGTTACTTTGTATGATTCCTTTCTATTGTACAGGAAGGACACTATCGAATAAGAGGAGCTTCATTTAGTAGCTTGGAGTCTGCCTCGTACAAATCTTTACAAAGAAATAATACTTAAAAATGAATAAAAAAGAATAGATTATGCTCTAGAGTTAATTAATTTAACATACACTAATAATGACAATACTAATTATTATCCTCCACTTGAAAAAAAAAATACCTAAATATAAGTAACATTATGTATTGCTAAATATTAACAATCACATATAAGCTTATATACATGTATGATAGCTTAACATATTTTTATTTTCGTAATATCATGATCCTTATTTGTTAATACTTAGTTCTAGAATGATATAAAAGGTAATAGTTTTACAAATATTATTTTGGGAGAATTACTTCAAAACTAATTCATAAATTGACTCCTATTCTTTTTTAGTTTTATTTTGGACAAAATTTAAGTGCACTTTTTAAAGTAGTTTTATTTTTTTTTCAATTAAAAATTAAGTTTTATTTTGATAAAACATTAGCATTTGATTTTGTCATATGTTCTTACAGTAAAACTTTAATTTTAATTAAAAATAATACTAAAAATACTTATAAACTGCAAGTAAATTTTATTCTTTTACTCTATCCATGGATTTGGCTTCGTCATTTATTTAGGAAGTTGAGATGTCAACAAGGGACTTGACAATGCTCGTTTGAGGAGACCAGCCACATGAAGCAAGATGAAAAATTTTGGAAACAAAAAAAAAAAAAAAAGGAAATAGTTTTTAAATATTTTACTCCTTCATATGTCATTACTCATGTTTCAATGATGAGATGTGAAGAGTATCTAGTAAAAGCAATCATATTTATCAACTAAAATTAGAATGTAAAGTGATAAATGTTTGGTCATTTTGGAGACTGCCGATAAGTATTTATAATCGTTAACATCCAAGTGAAATTAATTATAAGTTTTTATATTTTTTAGAATTAAACTGTTCAACCATACAATTTCAGGGACTAAGATAGATTTTATTCAATTTTATTCTTTAATTTTACTGTGTTATTTTACTAATAAATGGAGCATCAAATCATTTGACACAACTATAAAAGATTATTAGCTCACCAAATCCTTTAACAAAAATGAAAAACAATAAAGGGAGGTAAATTATAGGGAAAAAATATGGTAGCTCCCCAGTTTTCTTGACAATCTATCTAAAATGAACTTGCAATGTTTTTAATTTGTTATAATTTTCTATGCAAATTTTACAGATAAGAAACAAGGTAAAAATAGGATCGTATTTTTAATTATTAGAAAATATGAAATAAAAACAAACAAGTAATGCTTTATAATATGAAAGAGGTTTCCTCCACTTGTGTAAATTGAAGAGTATGAAAATTTTGCACTTATTCTCTGCCCCCTCCCAAATCCCTTGCCAATATAGTAGCCAAATACATGAGAGGCTGTAAAAACAGGAACCTTATTTTCCTGAAAATAGTGTCTCTTAGAGGCTTGACTTTCCTTCTTCGTTTACCGTTTTGGTTGACTATTAGAAAATTTCAGTGGTTGATATCAAGTAGGTATAGTCTAATTGCAAGGTACGAGAATATCACACTTGAATCCTTCATCATAAGCATGAAATTACAATGGGGTCCTTCTGTGACTTTTTATGATATAAAAGGTCTAGAGTGCCCTTAAATTGAATCACAATTGAAGATAAAACAATACCCTGTAAAAAGCTGTAAATTAGAAGAGTAAATGGAATACATCAATGGGATTTTTAACTTTGTTTTTAACAAATGAAATTAAAGGTCCCAAAAGTAGTATAATAACTTCTTGAGTATGCATTAAGAGACTTGGCTATCTGTCAATTATGTTAAAATTTGTTATAGGGTTTTTCTCGCGATTCTTGCATGAGCACTAGGAATGGAGAAGAGTTAGGTTATACTATGCTTTATAAGCCATGTGTCTGACCAATTTTTCAAATCTAAGGTCTAATTTTGACTTATTTACTTGATGTAGGTTCATTTTCTAATGGTTTTACTAGATAGTTTGAAATTTTGCTTTGACTTAAAAATTTATTTGAAGTTTACTTTGTAGCAGAATCTTTTAATTAGGTTTAAGAAAATCTATCTCTAATTAAGCTAATGAATCTAAACTTATAAGAAGGTTAATACCTTAAGTTTTTAAATAGACCAGCACATATACAATCTCAAAATAAATATATATAAATTAGTTACTATTATTATTGTTACTACTATTACTAGTACTATTATTATTGTTATAATTAATATTACTATTACTACTACAGCCATTATTGTTGATGTTACAATTGTTTTTATTCTTAATCTTATTATTGCTACTGCTTGTGTTATTATTGTTGCAATTGCTACACTTACTACTTAGAATTAAAAAAAAGTTTTTTTTTTCTGGAAAAAAAGTTTTGTTTTATTAGTTTAAAGTTTAACCTTTTTAATTCAGTGCACTTTTAAAATTTTTTGACCATTTATTTGGTAAATATTAAGTCATGTGCATGTAATAAAATAGAAATAAAATTTGTATTGAAATTCATTTAAAAATTATTTTATTCTTATTCTAGGTTTTTGATTAGTTGTGCATGTGCTCATGGACTTGAAGTGATTCAATAATTTTGAAGTGATTCCTTAAAAGAAAAATGTATACACTTATATTCTATGTTGTTCATAACATTGTTGCTTCACATTGATGAGATAAATGTAATGTCTGTTTTATCTTGAGATAAAGCTAATGTTTTGGATAGTGTGATTCTTCTGATATTCCCCGTTAAAGTCGAATTAGACCTTTCCTTTCCTGTTAATTACATTCATGAGATTTCAGAAGCAAGGGCAATTAAGTAGTAATTCATAGGAGAGAAAATACTGAAGCATTAAAATTTTAGTCTTGTTTTAATCATTTTTTATCGTTCATACCATTATACTGCTTGATTGTTCCATGTGGTCACCATTGACTCTGAGCTAACCCATAGCCACTGGTTTCCATTTTACCCATCTAATGAAATTCTGGACGCAACATAGCAGTCATGTCTATCTGACCCACCTCTTAAAAAATATAAAAAACAATAAAGCAAAAATTGAATGTGACAGAACAAAAACTATACCTTTTAATTTAATGTCACCAAAATGCTGAAAATATGTCAACTTTTCACTAGCAAGATGATATTCGTATCTTCATTCTCTGCCAGTGCCACGATGACTAAAATAAGCTCCGTTCTCACTCAAGTAACTGAATGAAAATTTACTAAATAAATGGTCAATATTTTTTTTATGATAAGCTATTTTTCCTCTAGTACATAATACATTGCTAGATGCTAACAGAATGAAAATTTCGCTAAAGAGGACAAACAGTAATAAAGTAGTAACCAACGGTCCAACACCTTCATATTTTAATTTAAAGCATTTACTAGTTACCTATTTATTTCAACTACATCCAAACCAGATAAAAGTAGTCCTACTTTTTTGGCTAATTCTCTTAGTAGTTCCAAATGGAAGTGGAGAAAGTAAGTTCTTCGTTTATATCATATGCTTCGAACTGGATTGCTTCTGATTCATGATAATTATCTGCAACTCCATAGTCATGCTGATGCATCTCAATCAATGCATCCCAGTTAATACTCATGTCAGAAAACACTTTTTGTTTCTCATTATCATCTCTTGATGCAGCTTCAGACACTGTTGAACTTCCTGAGCTATCAGTTTTCTCTGACTCTCTTTCATCTTTTAGGATTCCCATCTGTTGAAGAAACTCAAGAAGGTCTATCTGGGGTTTCTCATGAAAATCTCCAAGCATCTTTGGTGATGAAGTTTGAGCATATTTTTCAGGTAGAGGAAAATTTTCTGCATGATTTTTGGTGCCCATGTTCTCAAGTTCTACCTTTGGATCAGTGGATGATGAACTCGGAAGTGGTGATTGATTTGCATTTGCAACCACCCCATTCTTGTGCTTAAGTTGTTGGAGCCTTTGATGGATTACATGGACACTTGGTTGTGCATTGAGGTTGAGTAATCCACGTGAAGGGAACATGGAAATGAAGTTTTTGGAAGGGAACCATTTGAACTTTTGAGGTTTGGTATTGGAACTAATGAAGCTTGGTTGCATGTGGGGAAGGTTAAGATAAGCATCAGGTCCGTAGAGTCTCCTTGCAGCCTCGTCATAAGCCAAAGCAGCTTCTTCTGCTGTGGCAAAAGAGCCAAGCCAGAGTCTTGTTCTCTTCTTTGGCTCTCTTATTTCAGCAACCCATTTACCCCATGTTCTTTGTCTAACACCTCTATACTCACATGAAGCATTTTGGGGGCCACCTTTACCCCTTGTTGGCCCTTTCTTCCAAGGCTTTAGTGGGGACTTTTTGCAACCTTCCATGGTTGATACTGATGGGAATTGAACAAAACTAGGTGATGATGTTCTTAGAAGTGATGCATGTTGGTGGGATGAAAGGAGCGGAATATGTAGGAGCAAGAGTGAAGTTTAGTATTAATGTTGTCACGTTTGGATAAGTGGCCATGTGACCGTTACTTAGTGTAGGCATAGATTAACTTTAAACTTTTTTTTACTTACAAATTTTTAGGCTGAATTGTTTTATTTTGTTGTTATAACAATAATCTTGGTTGCAATTTACACGAGTTGATTAGTGGAAGTACGAGTATGCATGGTCCTAACATGTGATAGATAATTATATTTTTATGGTCTAAACAAAATATAACTTGTTTTACAAAGAGATAGTCAAACTGAAAGCTTGAAATAGAAAAGAAAAATTAATAACTTCTTTCACGAAAACGAGAGACGCGGTTCTTGAAATTAAGGTCAAACTCTTTCTAGTTGATTGCCCAGTAATTTATTTTAGATATATGTTTTGCTTTTGGCATTCACGGGTCAAGGATTGCTATAGCATAACGATTATTCAAGCCGATATTATAAATTGTTTTTGGATAAAATTAATAAAAGAAAAGAAACTGCTTATTGTTAGTATTGTTGATTAATGCTTGTCTAAACGAAATCACCATGATTTTGAATTTGGCAGCAGGAGTCGCATTAGACAATCTTGTGTCTGGCAGTAGTTCGTCCCGAGTGCCACCTTTAGGTTCACAGGCACATGATACATCGCATTTGAAAGGACAACCACATTTATAATATAATAATATTGATGTTTATCCCTGCTTTTTTAAGGTCAATGATATTAATTAATGGCAAATTTAAAATCAAGGTGATTTTATCTATAACGGAAGATGTTGGGTGAGGGGGCTAATATCTGATCCCTGATGAGGAAGAGAAGAAAAGAGGTTATTAAATGAGGTAATAACTACAGTACATGGCAAGAGTCTTTCCAAGTAAGTGTGAGTGCTTTGAATGAACTCTGACACTCATCCTTGGATTCTATACAAGTGTTGAATTTGTCCTCGAAGAGAAGAATTTCAAGAAAGATCCACCTCAACATTTTCCAATTTCACGAGCTACATTTCACATGTTTTCCTGCCATACCCAGCCTGATTCTCGAGACTCGGTTCACCTTTATCCCATGCATAATGCATTTCCTCTCTATGTATGCCTAACTAGGTCATCAGGGAATTACATTCTTATCACTGAAGCCTAGGAAACGCCCACATCAAACCAAATAAAACATAGGTGACGAAATTAGACACGATAACGATTGATTGTGATGGTAAAATTGGTACTGAGATGGCAATGGTATGACGGCTATGCTTAATGTAACAGGGCAAACTGGCTTGAGAAAAAGAATGAAATAAAAAGGGCAGAAATATACACTTGTGATTGGGAGAAGATAATTAACATGAAACATCAGTCTAAAACATTAAGAGAGATGTGATCAAGATTTCACTGTTATGGCCGTTATCAAACGAGCTTACAAAAGCGACCACTTCTATGAAAATTTACACCAAGCAAAAGGTCACAGCTAATAAACTATACTATTTAAAAGGCATGTTAAACTTCACTTCCATGATTCTCTTGGGACAAAATCTTGAAACGTTCTAGTAAGGGTAAAGGTGACGCCATAATAGGAGACTAGCTGGACAATACAAAATACTATTTGCCAAATATTTCTGGAGGAAAAAGAAAAAGAAATGCATGACATTACAAGTATCACTTAAAATGAAGCCTTTCATTTAGATTTCGACTGAGATTTGCACATGTTCTTCCATTTATCCTTCAAGTCTTGTGGTGTACGACACTTATTATCCTTCTCAAACACATGAGCACCAAATGCCAAAATTTTTTTCCATGGGATCTTGGACTCATTACAGCCAAACTTCTGAAGTCCCTCCTTCACAGAGAAATCAAACAATTATTTCAACAGTTGAAAATGGAATTATCTTTGAGATACAATAAATCATAGAACTCAAGGTGGAAGAAACATATATGACAATCCACATCCTTTCACATTCTAATGCAGTATTAGATTGTTCTAAATTTTGAATTGTTGAGGAAGGAAAAGAAATCCATGTCAGAAGAATGATGTTTATACAAACATAATGCAGTTAACTACTTATAAAGTCGTATACTTGAAATAAGTGATGAAGAGAAATAATACCATAATCAGCTCTTCCTCCTCAACTGTCCATGGAATTATCTTTCGTCTTGACGGAGGGCTTGCTTGGGATTTGCTGTCAGTCAAAATAACCAATCAAATTAGATTAAGCATAATAGTGAGTACTTCAAAGGTTATTATAACCATAAGGCCATATTTGGTTCATGACTTATTTGTGCATTTCCAGAAATCTTGAGGTGGAATAACCATTCCCAAGTTTAGGATGAGATGTGAAAAATATGTCCACCCAATAGTTATTCTGAGAGATTTTTTTTAAATTTGGATTTCCATGAAATCATTCCCACCAGAGAAACAGTGTGTGGGAATAGCAGTTCTATTTTTAGCACAAGATTTTTCTTCCATTCCTCTGTCATCTTCCTTTGGAGATCAAAATGCCAATGATATTAAGGAGGACTGGATCAACTCGGTGGTACTCCATCACGTAGTATTCCATGATTTCCATCCACTAACAATGGAGGTTAAGAGTGTTGAAAGCATGAGATTTTTCCTGGGATTTTTTTTGGATTTTCCAGGCATTTGAGATTGGATTTTCTTAGGAAAATGACGAGTTTCTGAAGATGGAGTTGATTTATAGAGCATGATGATGACATTGCAGAGCAAAATGAAGGTGGGACTATTCATCACGATTTCTTTTTTGGGGGGCGGGGGGCTGTGTTTACATATATCAATTGCAAATCCTGTTAGATCATGTTTTTTTCTGTACGGAAATTGTCAGTTATGTTTGCCAAAGTTGAATTATCATATTGGAAGATTCAAGATGCACACTAGCACAAACATGGGGGAAAATAGGAGATCATACAGTTTAGGTATGTTTTCTTGAATCTATCATGCAAAGCGGAGATTTAGAGAGATATTAAATCATTCAAGATGGATGGATGAAGCTAAAGAATGCTTTAGACATTATTTGTGATAGGTATGTGTCTCTTAAGCACAAAGAAAAATTTAGCTGCACATGCATAAGACCAACAGTACTTCATAGCACTAAATGTCAATAAACAAAGGGCTAACAATGTTACAAGATGTTAGTGTTGTTGAGTTGTTGTGTGGGGATGAGTGGGCAGTGGGCATACAACGAAAGAAAATATTAGAAATGAATATCTGAGAGAAAGTTGAAGGGACACCTATTGAGGAAGAAAATGAGGTATAGAACTGTGTGCCTACATTGGTTTGGACTTTGGACATGTGGGGAAAAAGACCAACAGAAGCACTGGTTAGCAGAGTTGATTAGTGATGTTAGCTGAATAATTAGACGTAGAGTTAAAGCAAGAAAAACACAAGTTAGAATATTAAAAGGGATTTAAAACTAAATGGCCTAAAGATTAGGATTTGACAGAATATGGTGGTGTTAGATGATTTGTTAGCAATTTTTTTGGAATATTAATAAATATAGAATGTTGTTTCAAACTGAAAATAGTGATCTCAAGAATGGTCAAAGTAACCACAAAATAGGTTTGATAGATTCCTATGAATCCATTCCTCAGGATACAATTCCCACCAAGGGTAATATTCTCAGGAATGAAAATCCAACTCCTGAACCAAATCCGCCGTAAAAGGAACTTACACAAGTTAAAAAAATAATTAATTAATTAAATCAAGCTTCAGGAAATCTTTAAATTGAATCAAATCAATAATTCCAACTCTCCACATACCAAACTCAAAGCATAGAAAAACAAACATTTCATCCAGACGAAAATCTAGTTACCAAAAAGTTTAAAACACTGCACAAGTGCAGATAACTCCATACCAGTTCAATTAATTAGAAGTTCAATCATCACATATGATAGGGAAAGTGTAGGAACTTACTCTTGTGTTTCATGCTTACGCATTCGCATAGAGTATCTAGAAGCAATATGCTTTTCAGATTCATCTTCAGAAATTTCCCCTTTCCCAGAATCATGTGCACAAACTGGCTCTAATGTTTCTTTCATATCATGTAAGGTCATTTCTTTTGGAACTTCTTGAGCATAGCTTTGATTAGCATAGACAATGCTTGTTTTTCCACTAGTAAATTTATCATCATCGTGTCCATCTACAGAGTCATTTGGCACTTCCATTTCTTCAACTATTCCACCGGTTAAGATCATAGCATTTGGCATTTCACCTATTTCCTCTTCTCTTGAAACCTCTCCTAATTTATTAATTATGTATTCCTTTTCTTTGAATGATGAGTGGACACATGATATGGGGGCTTGTTGCTGACTTCTTTCAAATTGAAGACTATTGGTTTCATTTGCATGCTCACCAAAATGAACTTCTCTATTGTCTTCACACCCATTTAACCGATCATCTCCATTCTTTTGGACATGAATATTTTCACACTTGCTGCTACTCTTTTCTGACAGACTATGGTCTTGTCTACAAAATTCATGAACAAGTTCTGCAGCTTGGGTCTTTATACCCTTACTAATGAAGATAGATAACTCTTTCCTTGCCATGGAGGCTTCTTTCTTAGCTTCAAGATATTCTGAAATAGTGCGAGAATATTCACAAAAGGAGCAAATAAAGTTTCCCTTTGCATCCAACTGAGCAGACGCACCAACACAGCTTTTATGCACCATCAATGAGCAAGTAGTTGTTTTACAAGCCAATAATTGGCCACCTTCATTACACTTCATGCAGCGATTTAGTTCAGTTGATTTGGCCATTGCTGAGAAATCTTGATCAAATGGGAAGTGGGAGCTCAAAAATTCATGCTTTTTGGCTGCAATATCATTTCTTTCATTGTGATATCCATCACTGCCACTCGATAACTCTTCTCCACAATCATTAACAGTATCAACTACAGGTTTATCACCAGCAACTGGCTTATGAGAGAAATTTAAAGATGCAACATTCGGTTCCTTCTGATTGGGTGGGAATTCATTAATCAAATGCTCAATTTTATCTGTATTATTATCATTTGTAGGAAGAGGCTCAACATGATGAGTATCAGTGGCTTCATGCATAAATTTATTTCCACAAGGCTCAGCTCCAGCTGTATTTGGAGACATTAAAGTGGTTGTCATATCAAGACAAATTTCAGGAAAAACTGGTGGAACAGTAGTCGCATCACAGACCAGTAATCGACTGCCATCATTACACTTCATGTTAAGATTTTGCTCTTCATGCTTTTTCATCGAGAGATTAATCTTTCCAGCTTGATACACAATCATATCACCTGTTACCGTTACCTCACAACTATTACAAGTATTCTCCGGAGCCTTAACAGTAGCAACTGTCTGCTGAGAGCCATTTAGATCTTCGAGTTGTGAATCAGTTTCATGTTTATGGCAGGGTTTGCTTCCAGAAACCTCATCCTGAATTCCATCTGAAAGTTCAACATTTGTAGGAATTATCTCAACCAGCTGTTGCTGGGAATTTTCACCTCCAAATGTATGCTGGGCCATCAAAGTAGTATTAAAGGGAATATTTGATTCATCACGAAACATTTCATTGTGACAGCTGGATTGGCGTAAATTTGAAGCAGAGCACGTATTGTGACTTTCCTCTAAGGATCCAGTAGCCAGAGTAACATTGTTGTTCTTTTCTGTGTGATGCCCTACTGTCTCAGAAATTTGAACAATTCTTTCAGTTGAAGTTTCTGACACCTCATATTCAAGTTGAGAAACTGGCTTTTCTTTCTGAGACTCAAAACTTGTACATCCATTACATTTAATCCTCTTCGAAGTTCTTAAGAGATCATCACATTCATCCATACAAACTCGCTTTTCATTGTGTCCCATAAGATGATCATCAGCTGAGTAAACCCCATTCGTCTTATCATCACTTAAGTGTTCTTTTGAAGACTTGCTCCCATTCTCTAGAATTAAGGAATCATCAATTAAGTGTTCTTTTGAAGACTTACTCCCATTCTGTAGAATTAAGGACACCAAGTTCTCTTTTTCTCCCATGTTTTCGCTATCAGTGGAGTTCCCATCATCCTTTTCAGACTGAGCATCGCATTCAACCTCATTTACATGCACTATATAACTGCTATTCTGAGGGAATAATCCACTCCTTTCCCTCAACTCATCAGTATGTGGATGAGTACCTTCCAAGATTGATTCTTTCAGCTATTCAGCATTAGGAAAAGAAACAAGCCAAACAAAAAAGGTGAATGAAAATGCAGAAATTTCTTAAAGGAGAGTTCTCAAAAGAAAATGACATTTGCATCACCTGCTCTAAGTAGCATTTAATCCCAGCTCTTTTGTGCTCGATAAATGGGTAAATATCCCATTTCAACAGCTCCGCCGCAGCCACATCCAGATTTGATGGTGTTATCTGATTCCACATTACACAAAACAAAAGAAGAGAGATTTGTCTCAATTATCATAACAATATTTAGGGTCTTTAAAAACAAAAAAATTCCCATTTTCACTGTTTCCAGTACAAAACTTAAAGTAAAAACAAAGTAACATTTTGTAATTATTCATTAAACTAACAAATTAAACCAGCCAAAATAAACAGGTCCTTAAAAAATAACCAAATCGGTTCAATTAGCTTTGCAAAGTAAGTAAACTAAGTCACTTAAACATCAAAGATCATTTAAATTTTCTTTTTACCTCGCGCAATATTTCTTCGAGTACATCTTCACAACTTCGCGAAAAATCAAATCCAACTCTGGAATCCAAGGTAGAAGGGTCAACCTCACCAGCATAACCAAACAGTTCCTCCAAACACTTTATAGCAACCAATTCCCTTGTCGTTTCACTAAAATCATCAAGCTCCACAGGTGCTGCATCAAACAAAACTACAACAGAAAAAAATAAAAAGTAAAAACGCAATAACAACAACACTTCTGATAAAATCATTCACCAAAATTAAAATTACAAAAAAGGTTGGTTACGTTGTAAAGTGGAAGTGGGGATTTGTTTGAAGGATGCTAGGGCTTCAATGCCCCAAAGCCATGCAAGTGTTGAAGGGTCATTATCACCGTCCATGGGTTAGGATCACGCAATGGTTCTTAAATGGTTTTCTTAATGCGAATGCATCGTAGGCGTTGAGAGAAACAGAGATAACAGCGATATTGAGAAGAATCGAAATGGAGGGAAACGCGGTATTGAGGAAGCTTTTGATTTATTGGAGGGAAGTGGGAACTGAAATCGCGCTTTTTGGTTGATAGTATTTTGACAGGTAGCAGGTAAGTACTCTTGGGAATGATAAACCAGAAGTGCTTTCAGACAACGCTTTGTCAACACATTTATTACTGATTAGACCTCTAATTTCAAAATTTAAAAGTTTATTGGTTTCTAATTTTATAAAATAATATTTATTTTAATTTTGTAATATAAAATAAAAAAGTGTGTTTATTATTGGCTTTAAAAAATTATCTACAAGAAATATGAAAAAAAATATTTTATCTGTCTAGAGTAAATTTTATCATATACATAATTTTATTGTTACTATAAAGAGTAATGAGCGAAATTAATTTGAAAAAATTAAAAAAAATTAAAGTTAAGCATTGAATGATATTTTTTACTTAAAATATATTTTTATAATTATATTAATAATAAAATTATTTTATATAAAACGTATATTAGAATAGCAATAAATATGTAAAAAAATATAGACTCTCTTAACAAAATAAATAATTTTTATAAATTTAAATTTAGCGAATTTTTTTAATAATTAAAATTTTAAAACAATCAATGTTTAATTTTTAATAAATTATTTTAAATTACATATTTATAGATTTTATTTTAAGAAACTATTCTAACTAATTTTTTTAAGTAAAAAGTGTTTTTTTTATAATTATAACCAAGCCAAATACAAATAAAATTTTAATTATATATATTTTGTAATATTAAAAATAGTTTTTAAATCTTAAACAAATAAAAGTTTGTTAACATAATTTTAGTTGAATCCTAATTCCAAGAGTCTTATTAATTATTAATTAACTCAACACTCATTCTTCTCACATTTATATCTTTTATTATTTATTTAGTTGTTGAATTATATATATAGTCTATTATAACTCTATACTTAAAAGAATTAGAATTTAAGAGTTTTGTTATGTTTTAATCCAATTATTATCACATTATTAATTAAAAAAAGTAAGCATAATAATACATTCATATAAACATATTTTTCTAATATAAAAACTAATTTGTAAAAGTATTATTTATAAGGACTAAAAGCGTATTTTAATAAAATAATTTTTAAAAAATATAAGACCCTAAATTTAGTTGGAAAAAAATTTAAATTATAGGCTCTTTCTCTCGGTCCCTTCTGCTTATGGTTTTTATGGATTTTTGTACTAGTAAAAGTTTAATTTTTGCTCTAATTCCTTTTTAATGTTAAAAGTTAATTTTAATTTTTAATTTATTTTCTTATAGTATTTTATTTTTCATTTTTGAAGTTAAATCTGATTTTACCCCATTTGTTAAGACCAATTGTTATCATTCTTGTAACAAAAATTATTTTTCCCGACTTTGTAAAATAAGATCAGAAACAATAAAATAAAAATAATTTTTTTATAAAAAATAGTATTCACATGTATATACAATATTTTTTTTTTAAATACTCAATTTATCTATTTATTTTAGATTATTTACTACTGAGTTATAATTTATTTATCTATTGTTAAATATTAATGATCACAAACTACCTCTAAACTTAAAGGGTTAATAGTTGTGTTGTAACTCAATCTTATCTTCATAAAATATTTAATTATTAACTAATAAAAATTTATTTAATTTTATATTTTATATTTTATCTTACTTTTAAAAGATTAAATAAAATATTAACGTTAGCATTTTTTTTAATATGTAATTGTCTCAATTTATATAGAATATACTTTCTATATAATATATTATTTTTCTTGATCTCCCCAAAATATATATTATTATGTAAGAAATGAATTATTGCTATTTTTCTACATAATATAAGTAAGCAATTTTTAATACATCAATTCAACATCTCATTAATTGATCTTTCCGATACTTTTTCTATAAATTAAAAATATGTAGATATTTAATTTTTTAACTTTAATAAAAAGTCTTTGTCATACATGAGTAATTATTGATATTTTATCGGTACTTCATTTTTATCTTTTTCTAAAAAAGTTCACTATTTTCTTTTATTTTGGGTTAAAATTTTATATTTAATCCCTATAACTAATATTTGCTTATGAATTAATTTATATACTTTAAAAAAGTATGGTTAGTCCTTATATGAGTGTGGTGTTACATTTTGATATCTACTGTCATAATGTTGTTACATGAGTGTTAATTAGACTTCCTTCAATCCAATGATGTTGTCGATGGTAGTGCAAAAAAGAATTAATGTTAAGAGTGCACTTCGTAAGACGAAGAGGAAGAGGTATGACTCTAAGTTTACGACACGGTCTAAATCCATGAAAAATAATTATGTGATTAGATCGAAACTTGAGCTAAATGTTTGGGACACGTCGCAGCATCAGTATCAAAGCGAGTTTGCTTCTGTTTCCCAAGCAAGGCTCGTTTTAGGTAAGGAAGAGAGGAAATTGGCAGAAAAAACATTGCAGATTGAAGAATATGTAGGTCTGGTGGTACACATGAATTCTACGGAGGTGATTAATAAATTAGTTGAGACGGAAGCAAGGGATAAACGAGAGCCAGAAAAACAGGGAGTGTCATTAGTCATTAGTGAAAGTACTAACATTTAATATCTGAGGGCTAGGGAGTCGGTTGAAGAAGAAGAAAATTGGAGAGATCATTAGGAAGGAGGGTATTAATGTCTTAGCTCTTCAAGAAACTAAGCTCAAGGCTTACTCTAGAGAAGTATGTAGTCAGATATAGAACAATGATAACTTCAAGTGGTGTGAGTGGCCTGCGGTTAGAAGTAGTGGTGACTTGCTTATTATTTGGAATGCAACAAAAGGTAATCTTCTCTTCACCTTCTATGGAGTGAGTTTTGTTGGTGTGTGCATGGAGTGAGGACCAAACACGGTAAAAATAGTAAATGTTTCCTCTTCATGTCGATTGAATGGCAAAAGGATGTTGTGGAAAAACCTGTATATGTCTAGACATGGATTGAGGAAGGAGTTATGGTGAGTTTTGATTGATTTTAAAATAATTTGAGGCCGTGAGGAGAGAAAAGGAGGGGTGGGGTCAGTAGATGCTCATGATATGATAGAATTCAATCAATATATTGCCAATATGAAATTGCTTGACTTGCTGCTTATGAGAAAGAAATTCACTTGGATGCATGGGGCAATGAGGTAATGAGCAGGCTAGATAGGGTGATGATCTTGGAGGATTGGTGTAAAATGTGGGAAAATGCAGTAGTTCGAGTCTTACTAAGAGACTTGTCTAATCATTACCTATTGTTGTCAATGCATAGGGTGGATGACTGGGCCCAAAACCTTTTAAGTTCAAAAATTGTTGGATGGAGCATGTCAGTGTTCATGAGGTAGTTAAAAGGGCATGGAATGACAATGTTAATAAGTCATGGGCAATGAAACACATTAAGGGAATGTTAACTAATTTTAAAATTGCTCTTAAGGGGTAGAAATAAGAAGTGTTCGAAGATATAGATAAGAAAATTGGTAAAATGATATTAGAGCTTGCAGTGTTGAATGCAAAATATGAAATTCAAGATTTATCAATGGTAGAGTCAAATCGGTAAAAAGATTTGGTTGAGGATATTTGGCGAGTGAGGAGGCATAGGGATATTCTCTTGACACAAAAGGCATGAAAGAAGTGATTTGTGGATGATGATATGAATTCCAAATACTTCCATGCTTGCATTAGAGGAAGATGATGACATAATCAAATACTAGCTCTAGAATACCTAGTGTACAGTCAATACCCTATGAGCCTAGAATACCTTTCCTTCTACAACTGCAGGGCAAAACCCTATGACCTAGAATTTGACAAATTCCTAGATCTATAAGAGAAGTTGCACATCAATATGCCTTTTATGAATGCTATCTCCAAAATGTCCAAATATGTTAAGCTTCTCAAGGAGATCTTGACTAATAAGAGGAAGCTAAAATCACATGAAACTATAAAGCTCATTGAATAGTGTTTAACTATAGTCTTTAAAAAGCGTCCACCTAAGCTTAAAGACCCAAAGAGTTTTACTACCTGTTGCACTATTGAAATAACTCGCATTGATAAAGTTCTATGTGATTGAGGGATAAATATTAACCTTATGCTCTATTCTATTTTCAAGAAGCTTGGGATGCATAAACTTAATTTGACCACTGTGTCACTTCAGCTGAAAAATAAGTCGATTAATTTTCCCAAGGGCATATTAGAAAATGTACTTGTAAAGGTTGGAGAGTTCATATTTCTTATGGACTTTGCGGTGTTTGATATAGAAGAGGATGATGAAGTTTAGGGAGACATTTCTTGGCCACTAGAAGAGGCATCATAGACGTCCAAGAAAAAAGCTCACCTTAAGGCTAGATAATGAGGAAATCATTTTTAAGTTTTTAATTCTTTACAGTATATTTCTAGTTAAGAGTCCTGTAGTTTTGTGAGCATTGTAGATATTGCTTCTCCTTTAAATTTTGTGAAGTATAAAACTCAAAGAAAAAGGCTAAGGAATAAGCAACCTAAGAATGAGGAAAAACAAAAACTCAATCAACCCACTAATAAATCATTAGATTTAAATCTTAAATTCTTTTCCTCTTTATTTTAATTATCCTCTTCTTTTTCCTTCTACAATTAACCCTTCTAATGTGATAGATGCAGTGGAGAAGAAGTTGCTGAGAAGACAACCACATATCAAGGGAATAATCTCTAAGACTTATACCTCCTTCCCATTATAATTTAACAAGACTGTTGGACTTGTGATGTTATATAAGCACTCGCAAAAAAAAAGTCTTCATCTTTCATTTCTATTTTATTACTTTTCTTTGCTTATTTTATATTTATTTTATTTTTTATTTTTTTTAGAATGAAAAATAAACATACTAGAAGTTCAAAAGAGTCAAGTTGATCAAATTTCAATGTATGTTTATGGACTTGTGCAATATGCATGATCGTGCTTAGAGACATGCATCACTGTGCATGCAGCTACGATAGAAAATTTAAAGTCTTAGATTATGAACATGAGCATGCACAAAGCGTAACATGACTGTGCCTCTTATATGAGAACCTCAAAAGCAAAATTTGAGCTAACACAAAGAAGAGGGAGAGAATGAAATGCAGGGGGAGGTTAGATAAAAATTTGAAAAACAAAAA